TGTCATTGGGAAGATAACTATGTCTTCACTGTCTAATAACATCTGGACAGGTACTTCTTCCCAATAAGTAAGAAAACTCTGGGAATTGAAAGAGAGACCTGCAGTACATTCACAAAACTTGAAGGTTAATCAGCCTTCAGCGTCATTGCATTCAGACATTTATCCGTGAAAAATTAAATGATACTGACTGAGTCAAGCATTGTGCTAAACTCACAGAAAAGCATATTTTAAAAGTTGCGAGAAAGGGGAAGATAAAATGTAGGAAATGCTAATGTTTTAAAAACTGCACACAAGGATGAGTAGAATACAAAAGCAGAAAGGAAGGCCAGTAACTTCTTCACAACCACTAAGATAATGGAGGACCCAAAACAAAATGGCACCAACAAAGACAAAGGAACAGACTTTCCAAGGCACTTTCCAGACTTTCCGAGTGGAAATCGATACCAATTTAATCCTGCTTAAATGTGTTCAGGAAATGGAAGAATGAAGAGAACTTTTGTGAATATATTTTGTTTTTCAAAACTTTATGAGACAATTTATTTACAATAAAGCTCAACTGTTTGAAGCATACAATGCTTTTTAATATATGGAGTTGTACAATCATTATCATCACCTAGCTTTAGAATACTCCAATATTGTCTCATCAAAAAACTTCATAACCATTACCAATCACTCCTCACCACTCCTTCCTCCTGCCCCTGGGAACACACTTACTTTCTTTACATAGTAACCTATTCCGGGCATTTTATATTAACAGAGTCATAAAGCATGTAGAATTTTGGGATGGATTTACTTCACTTAGCATATTTTTGAGGTCTGCCCATGTTATATATAGAATGAATTTTTTTATTTGCTTGTTTTTTGTTTTTTCCATGTTGGGAATTGAATCTACAACTTGTAGTTGCCACAACTGAGCTACATTCTAGTCCTTGATACTTTCTATTCTTCATAACTGCAGAATGACATTTCACTGGGGATGCAGTTTGGTTTTCCACACCGCAATATGATCAGGCATGCAGCGTAAGAAAATCTTCACAGTCACACTTGCTTAAACTGCATTCATTTGAGGCAAATGGCATCTTTATCTTTTCAGTAAACTCAAAACAGGAATAAAATTAGAGTTCAATAAATTTATTTGAGATTTAGGACTCAGCAATGAAAAAAATAACTAAGACACATATATAACATTCTATTCATCCATTCATCAATTTATGGATAGTAAGGCTGTTTCTATTCTTTCTCTACCGTGAATAGTACTTCAATAAACATGACAATGTGGGTCTTACTTCTTTCACTTCCTCTGGATAAATATCCAGCTATTTAGCATTAGGATTGCTTGATTACATGGTATTTGTATATTCAAACTTGGGAGAGGGGAATGGATATTCTTTTTCATAATGCCAGTGCTAATTTACATTCCTGCCAACCAGCAATATCAAAGGTTCTTTCTCACCCACATCTTCACTAGCACTTACTATGTGTTTAATCTTTTCAAAAACAATCATTCTTACTGGGTTGAGGTGGTGTCTTATTGTAGTTGTACAACATTTTTTCATATAACTATTGGACAGTTATATTTTTTGTTTTATTTAAAAAGTTTATTCTATTTTGAGTCAAGGTCTCACTGTGCTGCCCAGGCTGGCCTCAAATTTGCAATTATCCTGCCTCAGTCCCCCAAGTAGCTGGGATAACAAGTGTGAACCACCATGCCAGCTTCAATTGCAGGTCATCTTTTGAGAAATATCTACATAGGCCTACTACCCATTTGTTATGTCCACTGCCCATGTTTAGTCATATCTTTTATTGCTATTGTACCTCTGGAGTTCCTTATATAGTCTATATACTAATCTCTTATTAGATGTGCAGTTCACACAGGTATTTCCCATCTTGTAGAGTGTCACATCACTCTGATGTTTATATTAGGCCGATTAATATACTCATTATGACAGTTTGCTATACTGGTATTGAGTTTAAGCTTTTCTTTTGTAAACTGAAAGGTTTGAATGAAATCAAAAAGTTTTATGGACAGCATTCATATCTGACTACCTGAACTATATAACATTCACTACATATTTCTGTTAAAACTATCACTTGCCTCAAATCTAGAATAACTAGATGCCCCATTAAACATTTAAACAAAGTAATCTAAAAATCAGTGCTTTGGTGCTTGGAGCCCCTATTTCTCTCAAAATTAGACCCTATCCTACATTTTTTGTTGTTCTTAAAGCAATTTTTCAAGTAGTAGGAAATGAAAGTAAAAGCAAAGAAGTATAACCCATATAGTATTTTTATATTTTAAAAAAATGTAAAGGCTTATATGGAGCAACAATCTAGCATAACACTTCCTGTCTTTACCTGAAACTTTCAGGAAATGCTGAGAACAAATAGCTGATTTTAACTAGCATAAAAGAAAAAATATGTATACAAACTATGCCTGCAAATCTAGATAAATTAAAGCATTAGTAAAATGTATGTGCTCCTTATTCACGTGGGAAAACAGACTTACTATGTTTCACTTCCAGGTTTTTAAGACAGTTGGAAGCCAGTTCTCTGAAATAGTTGCTGTCACCTCCTAGAAACTTTCTACTACTTTCAATTTTCAGGCAATTATTCACATTCTGAAATGATTTATTTTTCTGTTTCTCTTTGCTACAGTTCATTTTTGCTTGTTCACAGTTACCAATCTTGTTTTTTTTTATTCATTTAAGAATACCTTTTAAGTATCCACTCCTATTTAGAAAGCACTGATCAAGATGCTATAACATATTGGTATAAGGGCAATATGGTCTCTAATCTCAAGGTATTTACACCCTAATAGATTGGATAGAATAAACAAATACATTTATATGGCATACAATAAGAAAACTAAAACCTGAAATTACAGAAATTCAAAGAAAGGAATGTTTACTTTTCTTTGAAAGGAGTCAAGAAAGGCTTTGGAGTGAAGAGATTTTAGAAAAAGATCCATAGAAAGGATCAAGTTTGAATTGATACACAAAGATGGTGGCATAACAGGCTTTTCAGACAGCATAAGTAAATGAATAGAAGCCAGAAAATTGGAAGCAGTCTTGTTTAGTTGGTCCAGTAAGAAATGAAATATGAAACATAAGCTCAGGCCATACTTTAATAGACCAAGAATTACAAACTAATAAGCTTATATTTTACTTATACACTCAGTCACTTAATTAGAAAAGACTATTTGAATACCATTGCTGCAAAAGGAACTCTATCAGGACCGGAGATTCAGCATTGCTTGATATTAAAAAGTCATTCTCAAAGATCTCACATTGTATGGACAGAAACAGATATATGAAGAGACAGTTATAACATATGCAAAAAGTGCCTTAGCAACATAGAAGGAGGGCATTATCCAAAGTAACAGAAGGGCTTGCTGGCCATAAGTTGACTGAAGCTACTGATAGACGTTAACCAGGACAATTAGAAAAAGGAAAAAAATTCTTCCTCAGGAAAAGAGTCTTTCCTTTAACAAAAGCTAAATCAGAAAGATGCAATTGAGTATAGGCTAAGGTTAACTGTGTCCAGAATTTTTAGAGAGTATAAAACAAGTGGTCAAAGAAGAGTCCACTGAACAGGAAGGTGCTGGGACATGAGGAATCATCTTGGAGTTTGGCTCCTGGTTAAAAACATATGCGTAATACTTTTCCAGGCCTCACCAAATGCTCTATGGCAGGTCTTGCAGGAGAAAGCTACTCTCCTCATACCAGACTTGATGTACAGCCAACTCTTTGCAACTTTGGGAGGGAGTTGTAGTTGGGGTCTCAGGGCCCTGTGGCCACTCCAGCTCTTTGCACATTTACCTGCTGAGCCCTGATGACTTCATTCCTGCTGTAGGTCCCTTTATGTGCAGCCTTGGGCTGAAGCATTTTTCAGACACTTCTGACAAAGTTTCTTTACTGAAGGACAGAAAAAAACCTTAAAGCACGTTTCTCTTGATCATATCCTCTGACTCAGTCTATCCCAAAGCTGCCCCACCCCTCATACTCTCCCACCCACTGCAAGATCCACAACACTGCCTGAGCCTTAGTTTCAGGGTCCCCAGACAGTGAGGTGATCTCAGTATCTGTACTGATGCATCCACTTGCAGGTATGCCATCCTGTGAGGAGAAATGGAACTCGGAGTTGGTCACTTCCTCCAACATGATACATGTTGAAAGGCTAACTCTCACTTCTGGTTTGCTGTTCAGTCCTCTCCTGGACAGCTAAATTCTCTCACAGCCCACCTTAGCTGCTGACGTCAAACTAAAGAGCTTGGATTTTGTTTTCCAATAATGGAGAAATGGATAAGAGCTTTGAGCAGGTATTGTAACTACAGAACAGTAACTCTGATGAAAAACTATAAAAACTAAATTAAAGAGCACATGAGGACACTAAGTAAGTTTTATTTATTTTAAAATTTCTTTCTTTTTTTTTTTTTTTGGTCCTGTTAATGTGTAATGAAAATCTGCCTAAAATTCTCCATGACATATGGTTGGCAATGAACATAAATAAGGGCAGGAAAGAAAAGTTAAAGGATGTAAGATAGTTTATTCACAATAAAATGGGTTACAAAGTATAGCAGTAAAAATCGATTAAATGTTACATGGAGCAAAATAGGCCAAGAAGTAAAGTATGGTGATCAAAATTCTGAAGCAAAAAACTACACATAGGAAAAGGAAAGAGCACAGGAAATGTCCAGCAGAGGCTACATGACCTCAGCACAGACATGATATCCATGTCTTTATTTGCATTCCATAGTCTGACCAAGTCACAGGATAGTACCCCACTGGGTAATGATTTCCCAACAACAACTCTGCACTTTACAAAGTGACATGGAACTACGGTGCTCACCTATCTATTGGTGCCACAAATGACAATAAATACCTTTAAGAAAAAAGGATGAGAAAACACAAGGGAAAGAATGAGGGGAGGGGTCATACTGATACCTTAAGGAGATTATATATTTGCATAGGCAAGGCCTTTGACCTGGTAACAAGTACCAGGTCAAAGGCCTTGCCTATGCAAATATATTAGGTAGAAGATTTTCAGGCAGGGACAAAAGTAATGCAAAGATTCTAAAGCAGACATAGCTGGAAGACCACAGAACAAAAAAGAGGTTATTCTGGGTAAAGAGTTACGGAATAAATAAAGCTCAGTTACTGAGAATGCCAAATTGGGGCCGGGGGTACAGCTCAGCAGCGTAGCACCTGTCTGGCAGGTACAAGGTCCTGAGTTCAATCCCAGTATCAAAAAAAAAAAAAAAAAAAAAAAAAAAGTCATGTTAAGATTTCATAGGTTAAAATAAGAATCTAACTTTTATTCTCTATGGGACTAGACACTAGAGTTTAAGCAGAGAAGTGACAAGATCCAACCTATGATTTGATGTGATCACTCTGGTTACTAGAAAGACCTGACTTTTAGGTGCAGAGGGTAATGTTGGAAATGGTTAAGTTCACTTTAGACACTTCTGCAATAACACAGAAGAGAAATGTCCCATGTCTGGGAAGAGCAGAAGCACATAATGTAGTTAAAAGTCAATGAACTCTGGATACATTCTGAAGCATCACAAGGACATTCTAATAATTCTCACATAGGGGATGTGAAGAAAGAAAGTAAGGATTTTCTCTGAGAAACTGGAAGAATAGAGTATTATATGAGTTGGGAGAAAATATGAGAAAAGTATATTTTTATTTTTTAAAAAGGTTTAAAATCCAGTTTTACATCTAGATGCAGAAGTCACTGGTAAAGCACATGTTTAACATGTGCGAAGTCCTGGATTCAATCCATGACACAAAAAAATAGAAAGAAAGAAAGCGAGAGAGAAAGAGAAACAAGAAAATCCAAAGCTTAGGAATGAACATGTTTTGTTTGAGGTTCCTATTAGAAATCAGTAGGAGAAAGGCCTAACCGTTCCACACGTCCCTCCTTCATTTTACCACATAGCAGTATCATATTTTCCCAGTCTCCATTGCAACTGTGGCTCTACAACTGAGCTCTTCTATTGATGTGGGAACAGAGTGACTGCAGGCACTACCTTCCAAGCCTGGCCCATAAAATTTTTTTGCATACAGCTGCCCATGCAGTTTCCCCTTCCATGGTCTTGATACAGAGGAACATGGCAAACACAGAAACCATGAGACAAAGATAGTAAAGATAGAAGACAGAAGAAATCACCTATCAGAAACACGCTTTATTATTTGTATAAAAAGAAATGGAGTTCTATTATGCCAGTCACTTGCTGAGGTTTTGGAATTTTTTCACTGAAGCAGCTTGTGCTGCTCAAACCAATGCAGACATCCAAAATGGAGACACAGAGTAGACACTGAGCATGTATGTGGAACTCACAGGAAAGGACCTGACAGCATACATAATTGAGAAGTCATAGATTGAGTGTTTATATAATACTGGTGTGGACTGGCTGGAGAGCTACCAAGAAGTGAGCATAGCCAGCGCACAAAAGAGGAAAACTCTCAAAGCTGAGACATGGGGTCACCTCAATTACAAAGAAGTTGAAAAGATGAGGAGAAACCAGCAAGAAATTCTGGGGAATGGTAGGAGGAAAGCCAGAAGAGTATGGAGTCCCAGGAACCAAATAAAGGACTCAACTACATCAATCATATTAGTAAATCAAGACAAAAATTGAGAACTGATGGCTTACAATATTGATGATGTTGGTGAGAGTGGGGAAAAAAGTTTCTGTAGACTAGTGGAATAAGAACCTGGGTGACATGAGTTTGAAAGAATCAAAGAGGAAAAACTCAGCAAGTACACAAGAATGCAAAATCACAAAAGCTGTAGACTTCCAAAAGTTCATTTACATTCAGTTTATTAATCTACAAAGACAATGAGTTCTGTGCATTTTTGAACAAACTTATCAAGAAGGCTTGAATATATTTCATATATTGGCACTACCATATTAATATTCAACTTGGAATTGGAAGAGAAAGAAATGAGAAAATTATTTCTAAAAAATTCAGGCACCGAATTAGCTCTAACAAACAGCACTACCATTAATTTCAATAACTAAAATACGGAGTTCTTAAAAGAATCTCAAATCAAATGTATATTTAATAAAAATTTTATAATTACAATATTAGTCTTGATTAGAAATAAAGGCTATAAATGGAAGAAAAATGGAGTTCTAGAAATTTAAAATAAGTAACAAACAGTATTACCAATTCATACAACCTAGTGTCTATGTCAGAGCTTTCACACATTCTAACTGAGGGTCAAAGCAGCAAAACAGGTTACACATCTGTCTTAGTTACCTTTCTCAATCCTGAGACAAAATACCCAATGCCCAAAGCTAAAGGGGGAAAAGTTTATTGAGCTCACAGTTAGTAGAGGTTTCAGTCCATAATCAGCTGGTTCTAAGGCAGGGTGGTTTCACAAGGCAGGCAGAAGGAACAAGGAACCTAACAACATCTTTCGCACTCTTTATCTTCTCTAGACCATTTAGGGCAGGTAGCAGTCACACCCTTAATTCTACTGCCCCAGATCCCAGCACTGCACCTTCCATCAATTCTAGCATCACACACTTTAGATCCAGCTGTCTCTGAAAAAAACCCACCTATGAATGCATGAGACTTTGGGGGACATCTAGACCCAAGCCACAACAACACTCATTTTGTTCTAAAATTTCATTGCTACAGTCACCATAAAGTTCTCTTTAACCATGTTAAAATGCTAACAACAACAACAACAAAAAACGCACTTTTGGAAGATTTTTGGAAGATAGTTTCTATTCTTGCCTTTACAAACACTATATTTTGTTTTTTGCAAATTACTTCACTTACAAGTTTATTTTTCATTATTTGTTTCATTCTTTTAGTTACATGTGTTAGCTAAGCACATAGCATGAGAGAAAAAACCAAGATCCTGTTCTCCTATCACAGATGTGTCTATCAGAACTGCTAATCAATTTCACAAATCAAAGTCACTATTACCAAATAGGGATCATGCAGGCATATAAATAAAATGTTGAAACATTCCAAAGAGTTCATGAGCATCTTTAATCCATTTCACTAGGAAACAGGAAAAGTAATTACTAGATTTGTGGCTCTTTCCTTTCAACTCCTTTTAAAATCTGCCCATCTTTCTAAAGAAAATTAATTGAAAGTCATAAACACCATATTTAAAAATAATTTATATAGAAGAAATTTGTTGCATGTTTTCAATAGCAAATCAACCTCTTTAAAAAGCAATAAGTTATTCTGGTTAAGATTCTCTTGTTATATCCTATTCAGCTTTTAATGTTATTGCAAACACAGCAAGTCAGATTCCCAGTCAGCCATAGCATTTTCATGGGTCACAGAAGTTAAAAATACTGTTTATTTCAATTACTTAGTAAATTCACATCAAACATATACATATATATATATATATATATATATCACAAAGCAGCAATTTACATCTAAAGATGAATGAGTATCTACTTAAAATCCACTAGAATCAATAATCATATCAGAGATTAACACCAAGAATAATCACCATATTTTCATATCCTAGAAAAATAAACATTACCATTCCTAAGATGAATGTATTACATTGTAAAAGAAAGTATTAGTTCTAAGTTTTATAACATCATTACCAACTTACGTTTAAAAAAAAAAGAAATCAAAGAAAGGTACATGATGTTTAAATGCCTTATGGTTTCATTTTACACTTTTCATATCAGGATGAAGTCTTAAAAGTAATTCAAAAGGAAAATGAAAGTATTTTACTCACAAGATAGAGTCCATATGTTCTTCAATCTGGAAACCCACTGGGGAAAAAACTTGAGTTTTTAAAAACTGAATTTTGACAATTGGAAGCTGATGTGGCTTTTTTTCTTTCCATAAGGATTTGAATCATTCTCAGGGGGAATAAATTGCCCTTTTACCAAGTACAGGAAAATTTAACACCTGCTTAACTTCAAATTACTTAGGAAACACTAGCAAGTATTCACAATCTGACAATGAGGGTTTGTAATAAACACTTATTCTTAAATGTAAGATATTTTTAAAAGTTTAGCAAAAGAAAACAGATCTGTACAGTTGGTTCTGTTCTCATAGTCTATCATTTGCAACCAACTTGTACTCAGTCTATTATTGCACACATTTACAATAAATTCTATTATTCCTACAGGTAAGATAGTAAAAGTGAACTGTAATTATACAATACATCTACACCATCAGGCTCTAAAATGGAGGTCAAAGCCTATTTTTTTTCATTATATATAAATTTCAACTACTAGCTGAATGCCTATCATTGGGCATGCCCTTAATAAAGCCTACCAAAATAGTAAGTATGTCTGTATTTTATTCAGGTCACTTTCTTAGATCTAAAAGCAAGCTGATAAACTCAAAGTTAGATGATTTTGTTAATACAATAAGGAAGAAAATAAAGTTTTTATACAATACAACATATAGTGGATAATCTGTGCTCTACTAAAGCATGTAATGTTGAATGTAATTTAACTTTTCAAAATGAATTCTATATGTATTATGTGAAAGTTAATGTGTTAAGATATAATGACACATTATTTAAACATGTAGAATAAAAGCAGTTATTTAGGTTTAAAAACTGCATAATTAAAGAAGGTAAATAGAGTAATATACATATTTAAATATTGAATATTAGCTTTGATTTTTTTCTTAGAAGGAATTTAATGTTATTCTGTTGTGAGACTTGAAAATGCTCACGAGAAACCTCTTAAGCTTGGCTACTTTCCCTCCAGTATCACTACTATGGAGACAAATACCATAGAATAAAGTATAGAATAAAGTACAAAGGAGGAAGAGGCTTTTTTAAAATAAAAATTTAAACTAAAAATGATTGAAAAAACATAACACGAAAATGAAAATTCATGCCTTAAGTGGTCCTGAAACATCTGCTTTGAAAGATGCTCTTTATGGTGATTCTATCTGATCTCCCCTACCCTATAAATTATTTCTTAATTCTTCCAAACTCTATTATTTAAAAAAACTGTTCCTTGTAACTGCTTCTTATTCTTTAACAAATTTTTCTATATTTTATATTGTGTGTCTACATATACTTTCTTAAAAAATCTATAATTAGATTCCGGCTGCTTCGGAGAACTGTGGAGTTTCCAGCAAGCAGGTGGGCGCACACAATCCATGGAACCCAGCCTATTTGGGACTCTCGCACCGTCTGGGTGCAGAGCAAGGGATGGGCAGATCTGGGGCGCCTCCCCGGGTGTCTGGAGGACTGTGGATTTCTCAGCAAGCAGGCGAGCATCACCAGTTCCAGAGGCCCCGCGGCCTGCGGTAAGTGCCCAGTGCCCTCTGCCCCAAGCCCAGACTGTTCGGGACCCTCCAGACTTCCCGATGCAGTGAAGTGGCTAACTAGGTCTGAGGCATCTACATCTGCCTCCCCATTCCGGCTGCGCTCAGAGAACTGTGGAGTTTCCAGCAAGCAGGAGGGCGCACAGCTTCCCTAGAGCCCAGTTTGTCCGGAACTACAGAGTTCTAAACAGGCAGAAGAGGGCCATTGGTTCTAGAGGCCCAGTGGCCTGGGGGAACTGGGTGCCAAGAGTCCCAGGAACTGTGAACATAGAAGTGGATTTCCAAAAGAGCCTGAGGAAACATTCGAATAACACTTGAAACACAGAAATATAGGAAAATGACAAAACGAAAGACCAAATTACAACCTCAAACCTCCAGCCCACCTCAAGAAACCCTAGGAGCGATGTATACAGAAGGAAACATATGCCATTTACCTCAAATATCACACATACTAGCTACTGAAATAAATAAGCAACTCCAGGAAGCTTTAAAGGAATTCAAACTCGAAATAAACTCCCAGGTAAAACAAGAAATGGTAAAAGAAATGAAAGAGATTCTGAATATATCTAAAGAAAGCACAGGTAAAAAATTGGAGGCACTAAACAAAAAGATAGAATCCCTGGATGAGCAATATAAGAAACAAACAGAATACATAAAGCAGATGCACAGAGATATACAGGAAATCAAAAACTCCACTGAAAGCTGTAAAAACCACCTCAAGGAAAGTGAAGACAGGATTTCAGACCTTGAAGACAGGATTGCAGCTAGTGAACAGGAAAGAAAAGATCTTTGAAAAATAATAACGAATCAGGAAATAACAATTCAACAACTGCAAGATGATGCAAAGAAAAATAACATAAGATTCATAGGGATTAATGAAAAAAAAGAGACAACATAAAGGATGTCAAGAGGATATTTAGAGAAGTAATAGCTGAAAATTTCCCAAGCATGAGATGAGAAACTGACATCAGGTTCAGTGAAGACAATAGAACTTCAAATAGTCATAACCAAAATAAAACTACACCCAGACATATAATAATCACCATCCCAGAAATCAAACACAAGAATAAATTATTAAAAGCTGTCAGAGAAAAAAAGACAGATCACTTATAAAGGAAAACCTATCGGAATCACAGCAGACTTCTCAGCACAAACAATAAAGTAAAGAAGACCATGAAGTGAAATATTCCAGATCCTAAAGCAAAATGATTTCCAACCTAGACTGATGTACCTTGCAAAACAATCATTCAAAATTGATGAAGAAATACTATACTTCCGTGACAAAGAACAGCTGAAAAACTACATGAACACCAAGCCAACCCTGCAAAAAATGAGAGACAGTTTAGATACACAAAGGAAAAAGCGACTAAGCAAAGCAGATAATTAAACAGAACAGAAAGATAGAGATGCAACAGCAGAGAGATAACATGTCAACAATAGGGACTGGGGATTGAGCTCAGTGGCATAAGTACCTACCTTGCAAGCAGGCAATCTTGAGTTTGATTCTCGGTACCGATAAAAAGGAAAAACACAAAAAACAAAAAACAAAACATGTCAACAATAAACCAGCATATAACAGTTATAACCATTAATGTAAATGGTGTCAATGCACCAATCAAAATAAACACACTAGCAGAATGGATCAAGAAACAAAATCCAACCATATGCCGTTTACAGGAAACCCATCTAACCCAGAAAGATACTCACATACTGAAAGTCAAAGGATGGAAAACAATACTTCAAGCAACAGGAATCCAAAATAAAGCAGGAGTAGCCATTCTGTTTGCAGACAACGTGAACTTTAAACCAAAAATGACCATAAAGGAAAAAAAGGTCACTACATACTCGTTAGGGGAAAACTCCAAGATGAAGAGATAACTATCTTAAAATATATATGCACCAAACTCCAGAGCACCCTGTTATATAAAAAAACTATTAACAGAAATGAAAACTCAAATTATCAGTAACACCGTTGTAACAGAAGACCTTAACATGCCATTGCCACCAAGGGACAAATCAACCAGACAGAAAACGAGCAAAGAAATAACAGAACTGAAGCAAACTGGTGAACAAATGGACTTGATAGACATATACAGAATATCCCACCCAACAACATCAGAATACACATTCTTCCCAGCAGTACATGGGTCATTCTGTAAAAGAGACCATATATATTAGCTCACAGAACATATTTAAACAAATGCAAAAGAGTTGAAATCATCCCTTGCATGTTATCGGATCACAGCGCTTTGAAATTAAAAATTAATGATAAAACATACTGCAAAAATCCCACAAACACATGGAAACTGAATAACGCACTCTTCAGTAATCAGTGGGTCACAGAAGAAATTAAACAATACCTACAAGAAAATGAAAATGCAGATACAACTTATCAGAATCTGTGGGATGCAATGAAAGCCGTCCTCAGAGAAAAATTTATTGCACTGAGTTCCCACATCAGGAAAACAGAACGAATACAAATAAACAACCTGATGCTACACCTCAAACAGCTAGAAAAAGAAAAGCAAGTCAAGCCCAAAGCCAAAAGAAGAGAGGAAATTATGAAAATCAGAGCAGAAATCAATGCAATAGAGACTAAGAAAACAATCCAAAGAATCAACGAATCGAAGAGTTGGTTCTTTGAAAGAATAAATAAAATCAATAAGCCCCTAGCCAACCTTATTTAAAAAAGGGAAGAAGAAGCTCAAATTCATGCAATAAGAAATGAAAAAGGTGAAATCACTACAGACTCTACAGAAATACAGACGATCATCAACACCTATTTCGAAAACCTCTACTCTCAAAGGTTTGATAATACAGAAGAAATAGACAGATTCATAGAAACATTTGAAGTAACAAAGCTAGATGAAGAGGATGTAAAACTGCTGAAAACCCAATCTCTATTAATGAAATTGAAAATATAATTAAGTCCTTACCTACAAAGAAGAGCCCAGGCCCAGATGGATTCACTGCAGAATTCTACAAGAAATACAAAGAAGACCTAAGGCCGACACTCCTCAAACTATTCAATGAAATTGAAAGGGAAGCCATCCTTCCTAAGTTATTCCTGGAAGCAAATATTACTCTTGTACCAAAACTCAAAGAAAGACCCAACTAAAAAAGAGAACTAGAGACCAATCTCCCTAATGAACACAGATGCAAAAATCCTCAATAAAATATTGGCAAATAGGATGCAGCAAATCATCAAAAAGATTATACACCATGACCAAGTGGGATTCATCCCAGGAATGCAGGGATGTTTCAACATATGTAAATCAATAAATGTAATCCACCATATCAACAAAGCCAAAAGTAAAAATCACATGATCATTTCTATAGATGCAGAAAAAGCCTTCGATAAGGTCCAACATTCATTCATGATAAGAACTTTACAGAAAATTGGAATAGATGGTCTTTACTTCAATATAATAAAGGCCATTTATGACAAAACAAATGCCAGCATGATACTAAATGGCCAAAAATTGAAAGCCTTTACTTTAAAATCAGACATAAGACAAGGATGTCCTTTATCACCACTCCTATTTAATATAGTACTGGAAGTACTCGCCAGAGCAATTAGACAAGAGAGAGAAATAAAAGGGGTAAAGATAGGAAAAGAAGAAGTTAAATTATCATTGTTTGCAGATGACATGATACTCTACATAGAAGACCCCCTAAACTTCATTGAAAGACTCTTAGATATAATAAATAAATTCAGTAATGTAGCTGGATTCAAAATCAGTACTCAGAAATCAATAGCATTCCTATACACTAACAACAAAATCACAGAGAGGAAAATAAGAGAAACCACTCTCTTCACACTAGCAAGCAAAAAAATGAAATATTTAGGAATTACTCTTACGAAAAAAGTGAAAGACCTATACAGGGAAAATTATAATACACTAAAAAAAGAAATTGAAGATGATCTCAGAAAATGGAAAGACATCCCTTGCTCATGGATAGGAAGAACAAATATTGTGAAAATGGCCATTCTCCCAAAACTGTTATACAGATTCAATGCAATCCCAATAAAAAATACCATCAACATACCTTATAAATCTAGAGAAATCACTCCTAAAATTCATCTGGAACCAGAAGAGACCTAGAATAGCAAAGGCAATTCTAAGCAGCAAAGGCAAGGCAGGAGGCATCACAATCCCTGGCTTGAAGTTATACTACAAAGCAACAGTAGTAAAATCAACAGGATACTGGAATCAAAACAGAGCCAAAGATCAATGGAATAGATTAGAATATACAACCACAATTACAAACACACTCAATCACCTTATCTTTGATAAAGGAGCCAAGCAAGTTCACTGGAAGAACGACAGTCTCTTTTAATAAATGGTGTTGGGAAAACTGGCTCTCCATTTGCCGAAAACTAAAACTAGACCCAAGCCTATCACCATGTACTAAATTAAAATCTAAATGGATCAAAGATCTGAATATTAAAACAGAAACACTAAATCTATTGGAAGACAAATTGGGTAGAAACCTTGAAGACATAGGGGAAGGCAGAGAATTCATGAACAGGACTCAAACCACATGGGAAATACTTCCCAGAATCAATAACTGGGACCACCTCTTATTAAACAGTTTCCTGCATGTCAAAAGAAATCTCCAGTACAGTGAAAAGAAAACCCACAAACTGGGAAAAGATCTTAGTGAACTCTCCCTCAGACAAGGGACTTTTGTCTAAAACACACAAAGAATTAAGAAAACTCAGACCCCCAAAATTCTAAGATCCAATCCAAAAATGGGCATCTGAGATGAATACACACTTCTCAGATGAAGAAATCCAAATGGCAAATAAATATATGAAAAAATGTTCATCATCATTGGTCATTAGAGAAATGCAAATTAAAACCACACTGAGATTCCATCTCACTCCTGAAAGAAAGGCCAGGATCAAGAAAACCAGCAACAACAAATGCTGGAGAGGCTGTGGGGAAAAAGGAACTCTCCTACACTGTTGGTGGGAGTATAGACTGCTACAACCTTTGTGGAGGTCAGTCTGGAGATTTCTCAAAAAGATGGGACTAGAAGCCCCATTTGACCCAGCAATTCCACTTCTAGGCATATTCCCAGAAGAACTGAAAGCATCATACCACAGTGATATATGTGCACCTATGTTTACAGCAGCACAATTTGTAATCACCAGATCTTGGAAACAACCCAAGTGTCCATCAACTGAGGAATGGATAAAAAAGTTGTGGTATTTCTATACAATGGAGTGTTACTCAGCTATAAAGAAAGATCACATTGAGATATTTATCACTAAATGGGCGCAGCTTGAGACCATATTCCTAAGTCAAATAAATCAATCTCGCATGTCTGAATACCGAATAGTTTCCCTAATGTAAGTAATGATTCAAATATATAAAAGTGTGTGGTAATCATGATTCCCCATTATGTGGCCTTGAAGCCTTATAAAGTTTTCACTTATTAATTGGAATGGCTTTATTCTGGGCTGCTTGATATGGAAATATTTGAAGCTATAGTATATGAAGTTATATTCAAATATTTCAAGGAAAAAGACACTATGGTAACTACTATTGTCAGGTTATTGGTGGTGAAGCACTAGGTTGCTGAAAGTCATGCTTTGACCTGTATTATTATGTTGCTATGTCTTCTTTTATCTGAATCTCTCCCTTATTCATTAAAAAATTATTTAGTTTTTAATGATTTTTTTAATTAAGGGGAAAAATAAAAAAAATTAGCAGGATATATTATAGTAACTTTTTTGATTTCCTATTAACTTGATTTGAAGTCCTGTAAATACTCCCACTATCTTGTTTTGACTGATTAGACTCTGTTCTGTTCTGTATGATAGTATCAAGTTTGAGGGTATAGGCAACTTCTTTGAAGGCAATAAGATTCACTATGATGCCCATTCTGGCTTGACTATTATCTCCTTTAGAATATCTGTAATATTTACAACATTTAGGTTTTATTGGTCTTGTTCTCTACTGTTTTGTTCAACTTTATAATACCTAATGAGATAGACAATTCTTTTTAAGGAAGCAAGAGGCATTATGGTAACCATTGTTGACAACTTTGTACTCTGTTTTTACATCATGTGCTATGTCTATCCTTGGTTTTGACTGACAGCTTTGTTTTGCCATATTTGACTTCATTTTCTTCCAAAAAAAAAGTAATAAGAACTAAGGAGTAATAAAACCCAAAATGTGTAAATTGTGTTGTAAAAAAAGAGAGGGAAAAAAAGTGCTCTAAAGGATACAACAGCAAGTGTGTTTAGGGGTGTTAAATAGATGACCATATTAATGTTTTTGGTTGGATCATTGAACACAACTGTTACAGTCTCACTGTTTGAATATCCACTTTGTATGCTTTGATATTGTGACTTGAGCAACTATCTCTATGATGATGTGTAATCTAATGACTGGTGATTTCTTACTGTTTTGTTTTGTTTTTTTTTGTTGTTGTTTTTTTTGTAGTTCTGTACTACTTGTACCCTTACACTGCTTTGTTTTGTTTTGATTTTTCCCTTTTTCCTTTTAAATAAAATTAAAAAAATTTTTTTAAAAATCTATAATTATGTCACTCTGTAAAAGTAACTTAAAAGCAAGGTAATGTGTGGGAAATACAGTACCAGACGAGGGGAAATACAGAAATTCTGTTCATACTTTATAATTCATTAACTGTTGGATTCTGAGAAAACCTAACCTACTTTGGCCTCAGTTTCATGTACAAGATAAATGTGCTGAATTAAACAATCTGTAAGTTCCCACCACCTTGAAAGTTCTATTACTTTAAAAATATATTTTACTCATTGTATTTCATATATCTGTCTGAATATATGTTCAAACGTTTGTTACTTAACAGTTCTTTAAATATCTCAAAGAATATTGTTTAAGGAAATGTACAGAATTAATTATTTTGCCTTTTTATTTTGCCTGGAAGCCAGAGGACCAAAAGAAATACACCATTCATACACGCCCTTTCGAGGAGTATGAAAGACAGACATAGGTGAACTCTAACACACATAGACTCCTCTAGATGGAAACCAAGAACACTCAAGCTGATTCTTTCTTTCTCCTTGCTGTCCAAGGACTGAAGACCTACTACAGATGCAGAAGTAAGGGTAAGCCACATTTTCATGAGCATACAGGGAAGGAGGTGATGACATGCTTAGTTTTCTACATCCTATTGAGTGCCACAGACTACAAAGACACTGTTTTATATAATTAATCTAAAGATATAAGTTTAAGAAAATACTGAGTACGTGAAAATAAGTGTGCAACCCATACAACCAAAATTATGAAATTTCTTTAAATAAACCTGATAGTATCAAACTCGTAGGTAAAATTCTAGATGATACAAAAGAGAGGTATTCTCAGGGAGGAAACTAGAGATGCTCCACCACTGGGTCCACACCCTGGACTTCTAGGACAACTGCTGGGCTGATTCCACTTCAGGAGCTCCTGACTCATAGTGAGCACCTAGGGTCCAGGGTTACACTGAGGCCGAATCTCTAGCTAGAAACAGATATACAGAAAGATCAGAACACCTGGCAGGTGGACATGACTGGCAAATCCTGCCTGGCAGTGTATCTTACCCTACATGAGGATTTTAAGAGAATTTAGTATTTTTCTGTGTTTTTAAAATGCATATTAAACCATTTGACTTAGTTATTTTACTTCTAAATATGTATAAATGCTATAAAATTGTTCACATATACTTTACCATATACATATACAGGATTATAGCATCTCTGAAAGGAAATATTAGATGTGAGCTCAATGTCTACCAGTACAAAGATCTCAAACATCACTACAACTGTATATATATATATATATATATATATGTATATATATATATATATATATAACTGCCACACTAAGCCCCTATAGTGTACAATGAAAATAATTAATACCAAATATGATAAAAGGCTCAAATGAATTACAATATTTTCACACTACAAACTATCATCTACCTACATAAAGAGGTAGATATATAAAAACAGCATTTAATATAAACCAAATATTATCCATCATGGCTTGCCTGGTATGTATTTTTAAAATGTGTTCATAAATGCAGAGGAGCAACTCCAAAGATTGTATTAAATAATTTCTCTTTTACCACTAGGAGGCTTCCTGGACACTGATAGGTAGCAAAGGAACTTTCACATACTGATTGAATATTTTTCCATCAGAATGTATTTTATATATCCTATAAAATTGAAAAAGAAAATAAAGATGCCCACTTTAAAATTTTTAGGCAGTGCTAAGATCAAACCCTCAGATGCTCTACAACTTAGCTACACTTTAGTTTTGTAATTTGATTTGTTTTCAATGTGTTATTCTGTTTTGTTTTATTTCATTTCATTTCGTTCAGATAGGATCTCAATATGTCTTCTAGGTTTGCCCTGAACTATATATTTCAGGCTAGCCTCAAACTTGCAGAGATTCTCCTATATCAGCTTCCTGAGTGCTGGGATTATACGTTGTACCATCATACGCAGCTCCAATTTGAATTTTTACATAGGAATAATGTTCTCTACATAGGTTATAAAATTTTATAAAATTAAGACAATATCAAAAGTTGTGAAACAGTCTTCATAGCACTGTATTCTTGAACGACCACAATTCACATAAACCAAAAAAGTAGAAACTATATGGACAGATTGCTTTCACTTTCTAAACAAACTCAGGTAAAATATTTTTAAAACTTGTAACTTTTAAAAATTTTGCAACAATATACAACAAATCTTTGCTTGCTTTAATTTTTATGTTAATCTGAGTCATTAATATTAATAGAAAGGTAATCAATCTTTAAAATATTTCTATAGAATATCATATGCAATTGAAGTTATTTCAAATATGCCTTTAAAACCAAATTAGTTATTTGAAATACTATAACTGAACAATAATAAATTTCCAAAATTAAGCACAAAGTATATTCAGCCTTTATAAGATACATATTTCTTCAATAATATGTATGATGTATTTCTTATTACCAGAAATTATAAAGGGTCACAACATTTCCTAATGCGAAATCTCACTTTCCAATTTTACTCTTCAATATATAATAATCTTAACATTCTCTTTATATTTCCAAAGCAAGATTATTTAATAGATTCAAAAATAAAAGTTGTCTGGTATTTCTTTTTTGCCTTAATATTTGAGAAGAAAAGAAAATTCCAAAAACTAAGACATTTAGCTAAAAATATGTATCCTCTTCTACTTTAACCCTCTTTCAAGTCAACCTTTCAAGGTCCAATATCAGTATAACGATTTTATAACACTATACTAAATTTTTATTATTTCATCGCAAAATATAATAATAAAAAGAATAAAGATCTATTTTCTTTTTCACCATTTTAAGCTTTTCTTTTTTTTTTTTTGCTTTCATCAATTCCAGTCTGCCATAAATCAAAAGTATTCTTTTAATCCCACCAGTACACAAAATAATGTATTTTACACTTAAATATGCTCAAGGAAAAAATTAACATTCTTTATCATTTCCCAACAGAGACAGTTAATGCTTTAAGGCCACATTAATAGAATCTTTCTGCCATTGTAGAAAGTTTGATGGCACTCCTATTTCAATGTCTGAATTTTTCTCCTTTTTTTGACAAAGACAAATGATTGCCATCAATCAAGATCCAATCGGGCATACAGAGAGTCAGGCAAATGCATCACTCCTTACTGGTTTTTCTGTTATTTGTGTAGGCTTTGCACCACATTATTTTATAAAATGATCAAAAATCCAGCCACAAGATAGATCATTCACACCCACTGTAAAATTAACTTTCATGAATAATGAGAGTTTTAAACCTCAGATAATGTATATGTTATAGCAAGGATATTACTGAGTTCATTTCCCACTAGAGATTATGTAAATGATATTACATGACCTTCATCATTATAACAGGACATGCAAAGCACATATTATTTCATACATCATTTTAAAGAAGTCAGTTTGTAAAAGGAAAATAGTCGTTTATAACATTCAGTCATGTGTTAAAATTTTGACCAAAAGACATGAACTTCCTGTAATCATTGGAAGATCTTCTTTTAACCTGTTACTTCTAGTTAAGATATAAGGCAATAAACCTACTCGCTCAACAATAAGCATTTAATTTCTCTATTCCTTTGCTGAGCTACTGATAAAGAGCATTTTATAAACTTGAGTGATGTTGGTTAATTAATAATACATTTTTTGTGGATGATAAGTATTAATACATATTTGTAAGTCATACCACTCAAATCTTAACATAAAAAAATCTGCCAATGTGATAAGTGAAGGAAAATATTCCACTAATATTTCCTTATAACTAACTATACTCTGTTAATTTTAAAGCACAGAATGTAAGCATGAAATGAAATGTACTCTTATCGGCTCTGTTCAAAAGACATATAAAGAAAAACAGATTTGAAAAACACTTCGTGTTATATTTTCCCCTCTAATGATGATACAATCATCTATGCAGTCAACCCAGCAAGATACCTTCTCCACTTTAACCTTCATGAACACAAAGTGCCAGACCCCAAGAAATCTGCTTCCTAAATAATTTCCAGCTCATGCCCACTATCACAGGTCTACCACAATCTTATACCTAGGGTGCTGCCAAAAGTGGCATCTTTCCATGATTTCATTATTAGTAATATTTTTTTCTTCAAATCTATAATGAGAATGTTTCCAGAATGATCTGTCTCTGTTGACACTAACAGCCTATCCCAAACACGTCCACAGCACCTTATCCCTAAAACAGCATGTGTTTACACAGAGGGTACATAAAATAACTCATTTAAATGTTGAAAGATAAAAGTACTGTATTTATTTTTATTTATAGAGGGAAAATGTAAAAATTTGGCTTTACTATTTTTTCATTCTGGCACCTGTACTCAGTCTATCAGTATTCAGGTCACGGTGGCATGGGATTTTAGCAAGATGACACATGTTCTGATTTATTTATGCCTAGGTACCTAGGCTTACAGATTATATTATTTTGGGCAAAATGGCACACAACTGTAATCCCAGATACTCGGGGGACTAAAGCAGGAGGATTGAAAGTTCCAAGATAGACTGGGCAAGTTGACAGAAACTTACCTCAACATTTAAAACAATTTTTTTTTAATTATAAAAAAGGATTTGAGTTGTAGCGCAGCTTACACCACTGCTGGGTTCAATCCCAGTACTGCAGAAAACAATGACGATGATGAAGATCCTCACCCCACAGATTACACTAAGTGATACAGTATTTATGATACTTAGGAATTAGATGAAGTGACCAAGAATTATCTGATAATTGTTAAACAGTATGATGGTATTTTGTTATAAAAGATAATTATTCCTAATTTGCTAAACTTTTCTGTGTCAGTGTGCTACAACATGGTCCTTAACAGCTATCTGATATAAAACTGTTATCTAATGTGTACCTCTAACAGGAAAGTGGCATTTGAGCAATGATAAAAGTAACTACTTTGAGAAATACATTATAGAAACAGATGTTTGGAAGTATTTCCATCACTATGTAATTTCTGTTGCCAAAAAATATCTGAATTACTTAAGAAACTCTTACAATTCATACCCTTTAATAAAATAAATTAGAAAGAGCTTCATAACCTAGTACTTCAATGAGTGCTTTACTTCTATTAATATTCTTTGACAAGAATCAACTTTGTCCAGTTAAATAATAATGTCTTTAAAATACTGTATTTTTTTCAGCTTTATTTCTTGCTTTAATATCTCTTAGCATTAATGGCAATCTTTAAAACTTGCACTAGACAGTTCACAGCATTTAGATTATTGCTCCTCTGTATTTAAAACAAACAAACAAAAGTTAATGTAGGGGATGTTATCATCTATCTCAAAAGGTATTTACCAAGTCTTACGGACTCCATACAGGAATCTCTAGCAAATAGAATTGCCGCTATTACCATTACCACCTATAAATTTGTACTAGGAGAACATAAAAAGGAACTTCAACTTAAGTATGGGACATGCTGAGATTGATGGGACAGAACTATATCCACATGGAAATATCTATAGGGTCTTTGAAAGAAATGTGGAACTTAGAAGACAGATAAAGACCAGAGCTGATAACCTGAGATAAGTGATGGCTGAAGTGTCAGCCAAAGTTAGGATCACAAAAGAATTAACCAGAGGAAATGTAACCAACACATTTCTTCAGGAATGACTCCAAAAATGGAGTTAGGAAAACATCCAGGGACTCAAAAGTGATGTGGGCCTTGTTCCTCTGGCAATGCTGATATCTGGCAGCAAGCTTTTGCTCAAAGTATTCAACACAAATGTGTTAAACAGCCAGGCACAGTGTCTCCTGCCAGTAGTACCAGCTACCTGAGAGGCTGTGACAAGGCGATAGTTTGAGATTAGGACCCCAGGCCAGTCTAGGCAACACAGAAATACTCTTGCTCTATAAAACAAAACAGAAAATGTAAATGTATTATGAAACAGAGAGGCTTCAGCAAAGAAGAATATCAAAAGCAAACAAGTTGAGTAAAATAAAATAAAGAATGAGTGTATTCTATCAGTTGTGGGGTTCTCAATGTTTAGCCACAGTGTACTACTTTCCATCCCATTCATATTTTCTGTCTCTGTCTTCCCCTCCCCTCTCTCCCGTGAGTCAGGCACACCCTACCTGCCAACTAACTACTACCATCAACTCTCAGCTTACACAACAGCCTCCAAAGGGAATTTGCATCTCAGCATCTTGTACATACTGCATCCTAGCAGGCAGTTATCAAACTAGTTTATAATTGCCTGTTTATGTTTCCCCACCAAAACTAAAAACTCTGTTTTTTGCAGCTAATCAACTTAGCCACTAAAGGTTACAGTTTCCTATTCTCACCCTGTGCTTTCTTATTCTATGATCTCATCCCAAGTTTATGGCTATAAATTACCCACACACAGGATGAACTCAGAAATTCACACATCCATAAAGATCTCCACAGGAGATCTTAGCCTGAGAACCCACAGCAGATCCTTTAGAGCTTGACTGACACATCTAAATGCTAACTTGTCATATGTTTAGCAGTAAAGGGACTAATCAGGAGTCAGAAATCTTCAAATTCAGGGCTTATTGTTTCTTAGCTGTGTAATCTTAAGATATTTAACAACTGTATACTTTATTTAACATCTCTATGCTCTCAAAAATGAGAATAAGACTCAGAGCACCTCATCCTTAGGATGGCCGAAATGAGAGAAACAGTACTATGTGTTATAAATACTTTTCTTTCTTTTATGATGGCAGGGAATTAACTCAGAGTCCTCGTACACGCTAGGCGACTGCTCTATTACTGACCTATGTCCTCAACCCTGGTAAATACTGACTGTTAAATATTACAGCAGGGTAAACTCAGTGAAGGCAGTGGTTTTCAAGTCTTTTATTCACTGCTTAGTCCCCAGATCATCGGTCAAAGGCTGGTACTTTGACAATACTTGGTAAACACTTGTTGAGTAAGTGAATGAATAAATCCTTCGCAAATTCATCTTAGAAAACCAAACTAACAGCCTTCTTGGTCAGCTAGTCTTCTTTCACTCTGGCTGGTCTTCTCCATTTCTGGGAATAGCACCATGTTTCTTCTGTGGTACCAGGCTACACAACCTGTTCTCTACACTGCAGTCAGAAGGTTTTCCAGATACTATACTGATCATGTTTCCTGTTCCTTCCTCTTTAAAGTATTTTATGGTTTGGCATTTCTGATAAAGACAAAATGCTCAACATGACCCGAAGGCCCCAGTGTGGTCCCCTTACTGACAACATCTCCAGTCCATGTCCCTTGTTACAAGCCACATTCCAGCTATGTGGCCTTCCTTGTAGTCCTTATACTCATCACAGTCTTTTTCCTCTGTCTGGAAATTTCTTCTTCATCCAGCTGACTTCTTCAAATTTCAATTCAATTGTTATTTCAAAAATAACATTCCTAAGCTCTTTAATTGAGTCTCAGACACTAACTGATGGAACTCAAAATACAATTAGGTTCTGCTTTACTATGCTCTCATAACTGCAGTTTTACATAGTTTGTGATATTAATAACTTCTCTGTGGAGTATGGAATCTACAGGGACTGGGGGCTTTGTTTATTATAGTAGCACTAGAGCATGGCACAGAGACTGGCACTGAGCAGGTTTTGGTATGGGAGGTGGGGTACAGACACAGTCTTGCTGTGTGTGTATTTTAGGCTGGCCATGAAGTCAATATGTAGCTAAAGCTAGCTTCAAACACAGAGATTCTCCTGCTCAGCCTTTCAACGGCTGGCATTATAGGTGTGTGCAATCCCTCCTGAATTGTTATGAAATGAGTAAGATGAGAGATAAGCAAAGAGAATATAAAAAAGTGTACTGTATCTGATAAGATAAAACTCAAGAAAGTAGGATTAAAGAACACAGCATTAATAGGAATAGGAATAGGAATGAGAAAGGAAATTATAAATTCAAATGATAAAGCTTCTCATCACAGGATCACTGCAAGGGATTTGGCAAGGGAATTATGGGTAAATTTATATAACTGTGCAAACACCATAATCCAGTTTTGGAATGTTTCCCTCATCCAAAAAGTTCCTGTGCCTGAGATCAAACTCTACTCTTAAATCCAATCGCAAATGCACACTGATCTTGTTTTGTCTTTATTTAATTTTCTAGAAGTTTCAGATCAAAGGAATCATACAGGACATAGTCCTTGGTCCCTGGTTTCTTTCACTCAAAATAACTCTGTGGCTCACCTATGTCACTGTTATGTGTAGCTGACGTAGTACTCTATTGTACACTCCATCGAGCACAAGTTTCACGTTCTGTTTACCCATTCAACAATTGGTAAACATTTAAATTGTTTCCAGTTTGTGTCTATTACAAATAATATTGCTATGGAAATATACAAATAAGACTCAGTGCAGACATATGCTTTTAAATTGCTTATGCAGGTACCAAAGAATGATATCAAGTGTAAGTTTTCTATAAGGACAAAATGTTTTCCAAAGTGATTGCTCCAATGTACATTCATTACAGCAATGTGTAAGCATTCCAGTTTCTCTTCGTTCTTCTCATCACTTGACAATGTCTAATCTTCTGTTTGTATCCATTCTCACAGGTGGATACTACTATACCATTTTGTTTTTAATCTGTATTTTCCCACTGACTTCTAACGTTGATCATTTTCTCATACCAGTAAGAATACCCATATACTTACTCTGGTTAAAAGCTTTCTTTTCATATCATTTGCTTATTTTAATTACCTAATAATGAGTTGTAAAGCTCTTAATACACTCTAAACATAATTTCTTTAGGTTTTGTTTTGTTTAAAAGTGTGCGGTAGTGGGTATATAATCCAGGGCTTGCTTTCATGCTGACTGCATCCTCAGCCCTTTTTAAATTTTTTTATTTGGACATGGTCTCACTAAGTTGCTAAGTTGCCCGGGTTACTTAAACTTGATAATCCTTCTTGTCTCAGCCTTGCAGAGTACTGGGTTTAACAGGAACTCATGATCATGTCTAGCCTAATTATAATTTCTTTATTAGATATGTAAGGGCGTTATCCTGGTATGTCCTTGTCTTTTAATTTTAATTAATGATATTTTTTAAAGGAAAAAATTTCTACTGTACTTGATAACATCATAATTTTTTATTTTCTAAATTTTAATTTTATGTTATTGAATTTGGATCATTAATATTTTGTTAATGATATATATTTTTAAAGGAATTTCATTTATCTAAACAAATATGCTATTTTCAAGTTGAAAAAAATTGAAGTTCAGAGTGCACTTAAGATTTTAGAAAATGGGAAGAATGAGAGCTAAATTCTATAAACAATAATTATATGTTGGGGTTGGTGCTCAGTGATAAAGTGCTTGGTATGTGTAAGGCTCTGGTTTCAAGCTGCAGCACCAAAAGCAAGTAAATAATTAAAAATAAAAATACAAATAGTGGCTGTTGCAACTCGCCAGTAGTTCTCAACTAGTCTGACACTCTTCCTAAATAAAATCAAGAAAACTTGAAAGAAATTTTATTTGTCACAATACTACTATGATGTACTGGCAGAAGAAAGGGCAGAAAACCACCTTATCAGAACAGGCTTAGAACACTAATAGTCTGTTCGGGTTGACACACTGTGTCAACCTGAGGGGTCTACAAATTTCACCAAGTAATTCAGCAGCTCTTCCTTCTGGGGTGTAAAGGACAAGCCATCATCTCTCTAGGACATTGTCAGTGGTGTCAATTTAAGAAGGTCAGAAGTTTAAGCGATACAGCAGGTGGCCAGAGTCTTTACTTTGTAAACACCCTCAGCCTGTGCAAGAGGAAGGCACAGTTGCAGTTTGAGTGCTATACTCACCCTGGGAGGTGGTAGCCTGGTTAAAATATAAAGGAGGAGAAAAGGCTTATTCTCTCCTCCTTTTTTTATTTCTGATGCTTCTGCTGTCTTCCTTAGCCTTGAAGTGTTGCCCCTGGTGCCATGCCACCCTGCCCTTGAGTCTGCTGATTATGGACTGAAACTTCCACAAACTGTGAATTAAATAAATCTTTCCTTCCTTAATTTTGGGGATCAAGTATTTAATCCCAGCAATGAGAGAAAAGTAATCAAGACATAGGTTAAGTCCTGCATTCCTTTAAAATGTTCTACTAACCACAGCTGAAAGTGTCAAACTACATCATTACCTTAGCGTATGCCCAAGCATTTTTTTCTCAAAAACACAGGCTTTGTTTACATGAAGGTGAAACTGGATGGTATCTCATTCAGAACTCTTATCAAAAGTTGTTCACTGTTCAGGTTTATTCTGGCTCACAGTTTCAGAGATGCAGTCCTTGGTCAACTGGCCCTGTTGATTTGGGGCCTGTAGCAGGCAGAATATCAGGGTGGAAACACATGGTAAACAAAGCTTTTTGCTCCCAAGACAGTCAGGAAGTGGAGCTGAGGGGTGGATCTCAATGTCTGCTTCAAGAGCACATCCCCAGTGACCCTCTTTACCAGGCTCCAGCTCATAAAGGTTCTACCATCACCCAACGACAGCACAAGCTGGCAACCAAGCCTTCAAAACACTGTCTTTGGGAGACATTTACAATCTAACCACACAGTTAGTCCTCTTAAAAAGTAAGTATTTGAGATGTAAACTGAATCAACGTATCTAGATTTCCATTTTCTTTCTGAAAAAAGTCTAACTACTCATGATGGCATTTCCAATGTTTTATGATCTGCTTTTTGTTTTCCCTTAGTAACTGCTTCTAGATGTGTACAATTAAATTTAAATGTAAATATTTCCTATTATAAATTATTTGTTTAAATCTTGCTTTCTCTTTCATTTTCTCAAATTTCCACATTTAATGGTCATGCCTTGTATAACTTCCTCCGTATTCTGACATGATCCCTATCATTACTTTTATCTTTAGAAAAATCCAAAAGCAGATATTTGGAATTTTTACTATACATATTCCACTATAATGTAACTAACTGTATATCTGAAGTTTTCATTAAACCATAATATTCTGAAATAATAAGGTTTTATATTCCAAAACAAACAGCCCTCATCACTGTTGCACAAACAGCAAGCACTCAGCATCACCTTAATGCTTGCAGACTTAATAGACATTTAATTAATTTTCACCTCTTTAAAAATTCTTTCCTGAAATTCTATAGGACTGTTTATAAATATGAAAATATCCATAATGGCATACAAGTCTAATTTTTTCCACAAAAATCATGCCTCTTCTGAATACAGTAGTCTCTACTCTCCTCCCCCAAATCCATTTTCCACAGTTTCAGTTACCCAGAGGCAGTCTGAGAACAGTAAATGAAAAATTCCTCAAAAGTTTCTGTAAGTTTTAAACAAATATTAATAAAGTATAATATAATTTTTCTATTTTATTATCAGGCATTGTTATTAATTCTACTATAGCAACTTACAAAGTAAACTTTATCATACATATGTACATATAGAAAACACTAGTATCCACTAGGCTCAGTACTGTCCATGGTCTCAGGCCTCCACTGGGGGCCTGGAACCTGTCCCTGAAGGAAAGGACAGAAAACTCAATCTACTTCATGACAGAATTCTATGGCTAGTCTTAACAATCATATAGAATAGAATAAATAGAATCTAAGTAACTTTGCACCCTTCAAAACAGGAGAGTAAATGTTCAAGCAAGCCTTCAATTGCCTACTTTTCTCTTTGCAGCAAAGAAAAATGATGAAAAAATTCTAGCCCTTTAACGTTTGAGTTCATCTGAAACTATCACATTGTAATAGTCAATACTTTTATGCACTCTTCTTTATATTCATACTTGGAACAATCAGTTTAGGATATAGGAATTGCTTACCGTTCTTATGTTCTAATGTGGCAAGTAATATGGAGTCAATTTTAGTACATTCTAAAGGGTTAAAGGTCAAAATGCAAGACTGCATAATTTATCAGCTCAAGTAATTCATCATGAAAGTACAGAGTTAAGCGAAGCATTAGGCTATTACTGCCTTTTCATGAATAAAGGTTAATATCAATGTTTATCTAATTACACATTAGATAGCATTTGCTATTAAACTTTATTCATTGAGAAATTATTCTGTGACACTGTCATATTTTAAAACACTGAATCAAATGTGATTCACAGCAATGCATTATATAATACAAACAATATTTAATGCTCTAGGCTTTAGATTAAAATTAGTTTAGACATTTTGATTAGTAAAATATGCTAACCATGAAATACAAAATTCCACTTAGGCACCAAGAGACACCAACAAACAATTCACAAAACAAACAAAAGCACTAGGAACACATTCATATGTAAATTTTATGTATGTTTCAAAATGTGGATTATTATGTGATATTTCACTTTGTTTAGTATTTCTACATGGTATTTTCTCCTGCAAAAAGCTAGATAACTGAGAAAAGGTCATAGATATAAAATACAAGGTCATTAAAGAACGGTAGAAAAATGATTTTTTAAAAGTTTTAGAATTTTATGAAAGAAAAGGAAATGTAATGTGCTTTTCCATAAATTAACACTGTATTTTAAAATATGTATTTCATTTTCTAAGTTAAACAAACATCATATAAAACAGTATAATAAAAGGTTATACAAAACATGGTAGCATATAATAAAAAAAATCACAAAAAAACTGTTATTTTACTCTGCTTAAAATATTTCACACTAAAGAAAAGCTATTATTTCAGTTAAATGCAATATCAAGATTTCATAAAAATTATTGTTTTATAGTCAAATAAATTCAAATAGAAACCCATATCAATAAGGCAACAAGTTACAGGGTATTAAACTTACTGAGATAGACACTTCATATAGCCCAAGTTCACTATTCGTTATAATTACAAATAACACAGAATAGTTATTCTCAAGGGATGTTCAGATCATAAAGCAATGTAAAAATAAATGTAATGTTATGTTTCTATAACTATTAAATGTAACTTTAACACAATATATTTTCAAATAAATGCACAATCCTGTTTTTGTACAGGACCTGTATTGATTATTGAGCCCAGAGAACAATTTGTAGAATATCTTAAAAGAGAAATTTAAAGATCAGACAATCCAACTATCATCCCTTTCATCCACCCTGAAAAGCTTTCAAATAACAATCTTCACCCACAATCAGTCCATGTAAAGGGATGTATCTGAATGAAAAGAAAAAAGAGCTGCTCTGAATACACATTCCATTTTGCAAATGTAGAGACTCTTGAAGAGTTCTTTTATTCATCCCACAAACATGAACTGAGTACCATATGTCAAATTCTGAGAATATACCAGTCAGTAAAATAAAGAACAACTAATGGTAAAATATATACTAAAATTATATAAAACTTACAAAAAATAATGGTATGTCAGTGCAAGGTAAAACAGTGATGGAAATACATGGATGATAAGAAAAGGCTGAATTGGAAAGGCTGGTCAGAGAGGGGTGGGAAAAGGTGATACGTGAGTAAAGAGCTAGAAGAAAGGCAGGTGTCGAGTAGACTAATACTCAGGTAAAACAGTATGGCATGTAGAACGTAAGCTGTAAGATAGGAGAATGTTAGTGTATTCATCTGCTAGCAAGCAGCCCAGCAATCAGAGCAACCTGAGATCAGATCACTGACAACTTTGTACGGTAGAGTAGCTGAGTTCAGCTAAAATCTGGGATATTTCAGGGAAAGGGATTAAAGGAGCACTAAGGAGACTCATAGAGAAATCAAAAAACTTTTTTGAATAGCTTATGAGCTAAAAATGACTCTTAAATTTTTGATCATTTTAAAAACAAAAATACAGTTTTGGGGGTTTTTTTTGTTTTGTTTTTTGTTTTGTTTTTTGTCTTTTTCGTTTTTATCGGTACCAGGGATCGAACTCATGAGTGCCTGCTTGCAAGGCAGGCGCTTATGCCACTGAGCTAAATTCCCAGCCTCAAAAATAGAGTTTATAATATGAAAATTTATAAGACTAGGAGAACTATTGTGAAGATAATGAGATACAGTATAATACCTGTTATTACTTATCCCAGTACCCTGCTGTGAAGTTCTGTACCAACTTCACTGCATTGTCTCGATCGGCTTTGTTCTGTCTTGAGCTGTTGTAGTTTTACTACCTTCAAATTTTTAAAAAATTTTTAAATTTTTTAAAAATTATGATTTCCATATAAAGTTTTATTGAAACAATCATACTCTTTGATATTTTTTTTCTGTATCTAGCTAATTTTGTACCACAATAACAGTCCTCACTCAATACAGATGCTCGGCACACTATGATGACAGTGATGTAAATTATGACATAAGTGTTTCCAATGTGATACCTAACTGCCGTATCACTTTTGTTTTTATCTTTACAGTATGTACCCAAAAATAGAAAAGAGGACTTTGAAAGTGTTACTTTCAAAGGCATAGTGGAGTATGCATTATTTTGTTCTATAATTAAACAGCAAACATTTTTTGTTTTTGTTTTTTGGAGTGCTGGGAATGGAACACTGTAAGCTTTCATCCACTGAGCTACAGCTCCAGCTGAATGATTTTGCTTATTATGCAGAGCCACTATGTCGATGATAAAAGAAGACAATATATATAATTACCAGATAGAGCACTCTTTATAATATTGCCAAAGCATGGGAAAGCAAGTCAAAAATCAGAATAAACCAATTATCTCATCACAACAATATTTCAGAAAAATAAAACTGGAAATGAGGCTTCAAATCAAAGTAAGTTTCTGAATGAACAGCTCATTTGTTAGCGATGTGAGGAAAGTTGGTTACAGATAGTGAGTTGATTAAATCGAGTTTGATTTGGCAGCTGAAGAATCACTGCGGGGGGGGGGGTATGTAAGAAAATTATAGCCTTCCAGAGAGAACAGTTACTCAAAGAATTGATGACACTGGGAGCAATATGAATAGGCAATTAAAAACAAGGCTAATGTTTTCAAATGTTTTTTGAAGAGCCAACAAATGTTACCTCTGCCTGCCTTTCACTACTTGTTGCTGTTTCAAGGAGTCAATAATGACAGTGAAGTTACTGAATAGTTAGGCTCTGTGAATAGTACACATGAAGCAATTATATGGAGATTTTTTTTCAGAGTTAAGAGAACAGGAATTTAGTAGCACCTAAAGTAGAATCGATCTGCAAAAATGTTTCACAAATGATGGTGGCACAAATATGTGTGAAACAGAAAAAAAGCTGGGCAATTTACAAAGCTTATAGAGATACAAAGTATTTGTCTGTATTATTCAATAGCAGGTACTCTGCAAAACATCTGTTGTGAGGCTATCGTGCTACTGAACTTGGTGGACCATGGTGACCTGGTTTACCTTCATGGACTTAACCATCATTATTCTCGTGGATTTTGCCAAAACTACAAGGCAATTACACTAACTTCCTCTCTGTAAGGCATTTAAAAGATTAATGTGTTGAAGTTTTATTGTCACGTTTTTAAACCTTAAGACAGAGATTAAATTTGTTTTGGACAAGAAGAATTATTATCAAACACTGAATTTCAGAAGTTGGCTTTTGTCTGACACAGTAATGTCTTAAACTGAAGTAAACTAAATTGTAGTAAAGTCATTTTGATGACAAAACTGTTTGAACCATAAGAAGTATCAAGCTCTTTTATTTTCTATGCTATTAAAAGATAAAACTAAGACCACAAATTGCTATAAAAGTTATAACTGATACATTTTTCTAAAGCAAAATCCAGTTCCCCAAGTACTTTTCAGACACAAAGAGAAGGCAAAGAAAATTTTTACCTTTTACTTTGTAAATGAGAAGTTTTCACACAATCTTTAATTGAAAGTAATCTACAATGCAGTAATGTGCTTAAAAAATAAAATTTAAGAAAAATGTCAATTATGTTTTCTGAGAGCTAAATATGCTCAATTAACATCATATCCCCATGACCTACAATATTGTTTTTGACAATATTTTTGTGTGTGAAGACATTTTCCAAAATGAATTACATTAAATCTTACTGCAGATCATATTAATAGATGAAAATCTGCAATTAATTTTGATGATAAAAAACAAGGATCCCCAAGTAAGCAAAATGTTATGCGCATACTTCTCAGGAAAGAAACCCATTCATCTCACTAGGAAAGTCCATTACAGAAAACTACTCAATGAATAAAGGTCAGACACAAGAATTTTATTACCGGTTTAGAAAATGAGACATAATAAGTTTAGGGACACTGGCAAAGAGTTGAGGAGTTCAGAATACAAGGTCTGTATTTATTTTTAATGAGGAGTTTATCTACTGAAGGAACTCACTGCACTGCAGTTTGAAGTACAGCAATCTGTTTTCTACCACCTCATCAATTTCTTGAAAGAGATCCTTTCTCAGGGCTGGAGATTTAGCTCAGCGGCATAAGCACCTACCTTGCAAGCAAGGAGTCGTGAGTTCAATCTTCGGTACCAGGAAAAAGACAAAAAAAAAAAAAAAAAAAAAGGGGGATCCTTTCTCTTTCCTCTATTAACCATTTGCTTATTCCCTAAACCTTATTACAATCTAGCATCCACTTTCCTCATGCTACCCACATAGTCCTAAAAATGTTATTATCTTCTTAATGGCCTAATCTAAGTTCTTTTTTTACAGCTTTGGCCACTTCTCTTACATAAAACCATTTATTCTTCTACTACTATATGAGTTCAGGCACTTCTCTTTCTTGAACACTAAAATATCACCCACCTACACATTCTCCATACTCTTTTCCAGCACTCACCTATTTACAGATGATGAGATCACCTTACCGAAACACGGTTCCTAAGTCACTGCTGGCTGAACAACATAAAAATGGTTGACAAAGTAAGGCCAAATATCTTGGCCCCTATACCTAAGATTTCTGACAATCAAAATCAGATCCTTCTAATCTTAAGGCCCAACAATCTGTTTACCGTAGCACCCATAAAGTACTACAACCTAAATCACAGCTACAAATATAATAAGGAATCTGAAACTAGAAACTGAAAAACATTGCAAATATATTCTTAATTTTAAAAACCACAATACTCAGTGAAAGGTTACAAATATAAGATGTATAAATTGTACAGACCCACTCATGCCAAAAGTTTACTGTAGAAGATTCTGGTCAGATAATAAATTGCAACTATTTGAATAGAAGTTTATACTAAAATTCTGTATGAAATAAAATTCACAACAGTGAAAACTGAAATTAATTGCCATTAACATCAGTACTACATACCATAATACTTTACACTATTAGACTAAAAGACTAAGAAAAATACTCTACTTCTACTTACAATAAATAAAAGTAATCAATGTTGTAATCCTTCCACAAAAATCATTGGAACTCTGGGAGAGAGCTAAAGAGGAGAAAAACATCATGTCTATTATTACTGTGACTAAGTGGGATTAACTAACCCTCATGAGATAAAGTTATGAATTAAGTGAAGCTCAGAATACTAAGAAAGTTTGTGAGGAAAGGATGCAAATAGCACCTTAATTATCTATAGTCTATTAACAAGCAATCCTTATTACTGGCAATTAAAATCCTCTTAAATTTTATGGCAGAAGTCACTGAAATGTTGAAAATTATATGCTAATTATTGTACTGTAAAGCACATGTTTAAGTGTGTACTTTTACTGTAAACACAATAAATAAGAAAGTTTCAAATTCTAATTGAGACAATGACTAAATATTTCATTAAATGGAAAACAAGTAGGTACAAAGCCTGCTTGGGCTCCTGCTGCCACTGTACAGAGCAACTGCCCTAGGAAACCTAGAACTGGAGGCTCTGTTTAGATGGCGCAGGATGAAACCTTCAGTGCTATCATAGCACTCTACATAGGAAGGGGCACGTATGTTTACTGCAGAAATTGTTTTTTGCATGACAATAGGTATGTGATAGTTAATGTACATCATCAACTTTCAAGTTCTGGGTCTTTAAATGCTACCAAGCTGTTCATTCACAGCTTCCTATACCAATTCCCAAACTAAAGATCTAAACAACTATTTTTGTAACTACTTGTAACTACAAGCTGTATGAAAACTAAGACCAAGTGTACCTTATTCCTAACTGTATCACAGTACAGTGACGCTTAGAAGTCAATATAGTGATAATCAAGAAATGGCTGGATATATACAGGAATAAAAGGACTGAAACTTCTTGGGGGTATCACAGTCTATAGAAGGCGAAACAGTATGGTATAAACAATAAGCCCACACACACAAATGCTGTAAGTCATGAAGCAAGGCCAACAAATACCTCTGTCCTTTGTTTGGTTTTCTCTTTTAACTGAGGCCTCCTCTATCTACTATGCATGCCAGTATAACTTTTATATCTATATAAACAAGGGGAAAATTCCTTAAATTATCAAATAGCAAACCAATATACAATCTATTTCCTCTTTCTCTCTCAAAAGTATATTCAAATAAGGATCCAAACAAGGCTCATATAACAAATCTAAGAGAAATTTCTTAAATTTATTCTGTTAGCTCTCATTTTTTTGTACATACTTTTGGCATCTACTTACTGTGTGTATGTACATTTTACTACATTCAAATTTTGTTAATTACATATTTGCTGGCACCTTCCTCTTATATCTGCCATGAACTGATTAGAAGGTGAACAATAATGTCCAATAGAAAATTAATACAAACCAGTTATGCAACTTAAAAATTTTCAAGCATCCATACAAAAAAAGGAAAGAAACTGGTAAAAGTAATTCAAATATGTATTATTTGATATTTGACAAAATGCACCCAAACTATTATCAATTCAATAAGTAATCAATGAGGGCATAGAGATTTTTTTGGGGGGGTGGTAGAAACCAAACCTAGGTTCTTAGGCATGCAAGGCAAGAATTCTACCACTGAGCCACATCAACCCTTTCCCATCTTTTCACCATTTGGAGTTCCAAATCTTTTGTATCTTTTACACTTAGAACACATCTCAATTTAGACTGACTATATTTTAAGTGCTCAATAGACTTAAATAGATACCATACTAGACAGCAGAGAGACTGGAACTTGATCAAACTGAAGTTGAATATACTATCTGCTTTTTTCTCTTTTTGAGTTACTGACAGCCTAACCCATTCACTAGAAAATCTGACAGCAACCTTTGCAGTGATTTTAGTGGCCACTGACAATCTTGCCCAGCTCTCATTTTTGCTTTTCTGTTATACCCTCTCAATTTATTAGCTACAATTCTTCCATTAAAAAGAACTTTCCCTCATTACTCTAGTAATTATGTAGAACAGTTTATATAGGAAAGGGGGGAATAAATGTATGATTTCTCACTTTATCAGTTCCAGAATTATAAGCTGCTCCCCCAGAATCCTCTGAATGTATTCTACAAAGATTTTTTTATGACTATCATTATGAACTTAGGAGTTTAAACCATTTACCCTGTTTCAATCTATTGCAGTTATCACTCATATTTTAGACAGTCCCATCTTTGGCCAGTGGAAATCCTTTCCATTTTAGCTCCTGAGAATTGTCTACTCAAGCCCAGGAACTTTTGACAGCTCCCTAGCTCCTGACATCACTTGTTGGTTCAAGGTGACCTTGCCACATCCTAAAACCCCTCACACTTTCAAGAACCTTAACTCTTTTACTGGTTCTGGTTCCTTTCTTTTCATAGTACAGACTAAAACCCAGATTTGAGTGTGTGCACTGCTACCATTTGTTTGACATTTACTGCTATTCTGGGGACAAAACTAGAAAAGATACTTTTTAAACAAGAAAATACAATATATATTTTCATGATGAATTTAGAATAAAATGAGTTTCCACTTAATTGATTTTTATATACATGTATTTGGGGTCATATTTTTTTCACAGCACACACCAGGAACTTGTTTAGTAAATATTGGGAAACACACAAGTGAATGAACAAATCAAAAGGATGCTGCATTGAAAAAAATCACTCAAATTAAGTTCACAATACCAGTACCAGTACTCATACAATTATAAAAAATAGCTTAACATTTCTTCATAGTTTTATTTTTATTTTTTTAATACCAAAGATCGAACTCACCACCTCACACTTACTAGGCAGGCACTTACTCCACTGAGCTAAATCCTTAGCCCCTGTTTTTTGTTTTTGTTTTGGGAGGTTTTTGTTTGTTTTTGTCCTCAATATGTGTGGCTAGGAGACAAAAAAGGAAGCAGATGGTAAGAGGAAAGAAGACCTCATTTGGAATCTATAAGTAATTATGTTCCAGAGTCATGTAAAATAATTTCTCTCATGTAGTAAATAATACTCAGCTTATTTCCTTTTCCTTTGGCTTTCAATTTAACCACTGCTTTGAATTTTTTTCAGTTTTTGTATATATACAAATCTGTTAACACATACTCGGTGAAATCTATTTTCAACCCTGGGCTTCCTATTTGTTACAGTTTGTTTAGAGGTCCCCCTAAAGCCTCCTGATGTCAATAGGGGGAATCTTTTCAAAGGTGGCTGCATCTAAAGTGTGTGATGCAAGAATTAAGTAATGCTGGGATCGTGGGTACACAATTACTGCTGACTGGTTTGACATAGTTCTAGGTATGGACATGGGAAGAGCCATGCTGAGTGTATTACTTGAATAGACTATAAGGAAAGAAAGAGGGCTGCTGCTAGGGCATGCTGCTTCTTCACCACTTTGCTCTCTTCTGCCCACCATGAACTATCTCTTCTCTGTGATGCCCCTCTGCCCTGCCACCCTGCCTGTGAACTGTAACCACTACAAACAGAAATAAACCTCCCTCCTTTAACATTGGGTGTTGGGTATTTTGTCTCAGCAATGAGAAAAGTAACTAAGATACTAACTCATTTCTTCTATCCCCTTAAATTCAAACTCCTAGGCTCAAGTGATCCTCCCTCTACACCATCTTGAGTAGCAGGGGCATTTTGATTCTTTATTGGCTATGGCTACTAAATATGCTGTAATAACCAGCCTGGTGCAAGCACCTTTTCCATTATCTTTCATCACTGACTCTAAGACTCCTGGAACCAGAGTTGTTGGGTGAAGAACTAAGTGTATGCTGTATATAATTTTGGTAGTTACTGCTAAATTGTTCTTCATACAAGTTTGTGCGTTTTCCATTCAACGAAAATCTAGATTACAGAGAACACCAAAAATTTCCAAATAGCTTCTTTCCTAAGACTCTATAATGATTCAGGGCAAACCATCACCCCTCAACCATCTTTTTGTATGCCTTCCCTATAGTACATCTATGCTATCTTGTAGGATCTTCATATTGAGGGAATGAGGTTAAATGGGTTAAGAGATAGGATGCATAGTAAGAAAATAGTTTTGTTTTGTTTTTTTGCTTGTCTATCAAAATTGTCATATCTCTGTTTTCAAAGTAGCTAGCATTTGCAACCCACATTGGTCCTACTTGTAGCTACTACTGCTGCTAAGACCTTCCAACTTACACTTCCTCCTTTCTTTCCTTTTTTCCTTCCTTCCACTTGTTCCTTCATTCCTGTTTTCAGTCCTCTCTCCCTTCTCCCCTTCGGATGTCTCTTCATTTGTCATGCCTCTCAAGTGAAAGAAGTACAATTTCAAGTAAAAACATTAGCTAAACCACTCATTTTCATTTATCTGCAAAATGATTAAGTGTATAAAACACCCTTCTCAGGGACAGTCACTTCTCAAGGCTTATTATGTTTGTGTATCTCTTTGTACGCTGCTAGGGGGTTTTCTCCTATTTTTCACCTCTAAAGATTATATAAACCTAGTCTTCAAAGTTTGTCATTTCTTTTCCTACAAAACAAGCATATTTTGCAGGACTTACAGGATGGCTTAACTGTATGATTTCTACCTGCACAAGAAACTATGAAATTACCTTCCACAGCAGCCACATACTATTTGAAATAAAACAATCTATGAAAATGCTTATATCACTTACAAAGAAATTCCTGTTACAGAAACCACTCAAATTGTCTTTTTAAAAATAATTTTATTGGTTCTCTTTTGATATACATAATGATCAAATGCATCATATGGAGATTGTACCTGCACATAATATACCTTGATTCTTCTTTTTTTCTGTTTTTCTCCCCTCCTGTTCAACCCTACTTTCTCTCCATATTTATAAAAGCTTTGTTTCCATTTCTATTCATTTTTTCTTTTCCCTTCCTTCCATCTCCCCACCCCACTCTTTTTTCCCTCCCCATTTGCATATTTTTTTCCTATTTCCCACTATCTATTAACCATTTTGGTCCTAATTTACACTTTCAGTTTCTCACACAAGACAAACAATGCAAAATTAAATAGTACTAAATAAACATTTAGTGAGTACTAAATGAGTACAAAATTAAGTAGTACTAAATAAACATTTAGTGAGTACTAAAAGGTAAGACTCAAGAAGGCAGGGATTTCTGTTTTATTTGCTACTAGGTATCCAGTACTTAGAAGACTGCTGCAAACAGTGAAATAATAAATATTGCAAATATTTACTAATTAAATAAAGAAATTAGTATTGTATATAAAAGGTACCGTGAATATATGATGAATAGAAATAGTTTCTCCCCTTAAAGAACTGTTAATTAATTTGACTGGAATAGATAAGGATACAAAAAGCCAAACCTATAACACACAATCAAAACAAATAATGCTGACCCCAAGTGTCGCAAAAGCTCACAGATACAAGAAAAATTTTCTATTCACTGTTGGCTCCTGATGAAAAGAAAGTCTGAGACAAAACTTAAGGAGGAACACAACTGGGAAGAATCATGTGAACAAATACATAAAATCAGGAAAAGCTGGACAGCAGTTTCAAAGACAGACTCCACTTATAAAGGAAAAGTTTCTTGGCTTTTTTAAGTAAAGAAAAATTTAAGCTTAAGTTGTACTTTAAAAGAAAACACAATATAAAGTATTATTTAATAATTATGGACAAAATACAGAAAAAAGGAGCAAGTTGTAGTGTTCTACAGCACAGTGGAATAACCATAGTTCACAAATTCGGTTATACATTTTATAAGTAAATAGAAAAAAGGAGTTTGAAGACTAAAACAAAGTAGTAATAAAGAGGTGGAAATGAACACACATAGTATATACGTATTGAAATATCACACTGTCAATTCCCAGTACCCAATAAACAAATATCACAATGTTCCCCATAGATATGTACAATTATTACACATCAGTCAAAAAAATTTGTTAGAGATGGAAATGCTAACCACTCTAATAGGATCACTATGCCTTGTATACAAATAATTACCACACTATACACAATAATATACAATTTGACAATACTAACAAAAATTAATTATGCCAAAATGCTTCTTTTATTTAAGTAGACAAGATTTTTTTAGCAATAACCTCCATGGTTATAATTTTAGTGTTATCATGACTTATTTCTGATAAGCAAGAATCTTTAAAACTATGTTTATACATAAATTGAAAGACTCAATATTATTTATTTTAAAATGCATACAATGAAAGAAAAAGATAATTTAGCTCCCAACCAATGTGGCTTAATTATCAAATTTGTCATCCTTCCATCATTTCTATTCTATGGAAAAATTTAACATGATGTCTATATGTAGGCAAAGTACTTCTGTTTCATTTCCCCAAAATATTAAAAATTTAATTTTTTATCTTAATAATGATAAAGACACACAGTAAAAGGTTATGTTTACTTAAGTCCAGCACTCTTCTAAATGCTTTACATATGTTTATCACCATGTTAGTAATGCATGTAACAGTTTGCATTTTAAAATGTTATTGTCTTAATAATTTTAAGGAGCTTGGTTCTCACATCTAATGTTTTATGTGCTATTATTTCGCTTTTACTGCAAAAGAAAGATCTGGCTCCCAAAGATAAAGGAGATTTTTGGTAAATGGTGAAGGTAAAGAAATAAATAGCCCACTTGGCTAGTGTGTAATTACACTGCCTGAGATTGTAACAATCTATCACATGAAAGAGGATGACACCACGCTAAGGGGTGAGTCAAAGGAGATAGCCTTTGACTAACTATGGGACCCCTCCGATCGATACTCCACAGATATTGTACTCTCAAAAACAATTGGATTCTAAAAAAGTTTGAAAATAGATTCCCCTCTTCTTCTGATACTGATCAGAGGTCTATCTTGACCTTATTCTGGAAGAGCAATACTTCCTAAAAAAGGTATATGAAACACATAAATCCTTTCCATATTAGGATTGTTCTTTCAAATGGATATTTAACACATCCCTATCATAATGACAGCCCTACAGACAAAAAGCTGCTCAAATCTTTATTTTTTTACTATACAAGCTTGCCTTCCCAATTGGCTATTACCAAGTTATTGTAATACTGTACGTGCAGAAGTACTTCAAGACTGAGAACTTAAAAAAAATCTCTCAGAATATAAAATTTCCAGATGAAGAACGTAGTACATTCCCTGAACCTGACACAATTTAATGGCAAAGGATTTATGTAGGTAAACAACAAGCAGAAAAACCTTTAAAAATAAAAATATGTATCTTTTGTGCATAAAATTTTCACAAAATTATTTTATAGGATAATATCAGAACTGTCTTAATATTCATATCATACTATATTTTAAATCCTTGAACTGTATCTCAGAATAATCCTATTATCATAAGTTATAATTGTAGAAATGTATCTCAGAATAATCCTATTATCATAAGTTATAATTAAATCCACTAAACTCTATTACATGTTACATGTTTTCTCTAACATTTTCAAATTACACAGGATTTGATATAATGTGAGTGCGTGTATATATAGCAATCAAAGTATAAAATATCAAGTATTATACTTCAAAGTCCAGGAAAGATAACAAAGCAAAGTATAATCTAAAATTCAGGGGTTTTCCCCCTAGAGGCTCATATTACAACAAATTAATGTACTTCATGATAAATTACTCTTGTTAAAATTATAGAGTTAAGCTTCCTAGAAAGTTTAGACTATTGTATTGATAGCATAATACCTGCTTGTGTAATTCTAGCATTCAAGGAGACAGAGGAAGGAAGATCTCAAGGTCAAGCCCAGCCTGAGAAACATAGCTACTTAGTGAAACACTCTCTCAAAATATTAAAAGAAGAAGAAGAAAAAGAAAAATGGCTGGCGATGCACCTCAGTGTGAGGGCCCAGTACTGGGGTGTAGAGAAACCAAAAAGGAAAAATTCTATTTTTCATAAAAATCAGTATTAGAAGAAGTAACACTTTGATCATTCTAACCTCAATGTGCATGTACAAATCTGCCAAAATTAAATCCATTAATCTGCAGAGCCAATTTAAAAAGTGAAAAGTGGGGGGCACTACATAAAACCACAGGTTACTGTCTCTACTCTACAGAGTTATAGCAACTCATTCCCTCCTAAAGCACAAGCAAATGTATCAAGAGAAAAAAACAATCACCAGATAGATAAAATATGCCCTGACCAATGAAATCATTTTAAAGAAAAAATAATTAGCAGATAGTCTGAATGTGCCTCTGCCTACACAATGAAGACAGCCTTGTAATTTTTATAGTGTCCCACATTAAAATATGTAGATGAGGTAGAAAATCGCTGCTGTCAGAACTGTCAGCGAAGATGAAATAAACTTGCAAAAAAAGGCAAAAAGAAGAAAAGCATACAAAGGATGTGGAGTACAGTTTGATAACAAAGATGATTATCTGTATTTCACCTCAAAATCTATAAATGATAGAGCACTGGCCTAGTGGAAAGCCCTCAAAAATGTTACAGATTAGCAAATTAATCTGAGTGGCAATTCCTCTGCTAAAATGAAACTATAACTTGAAAGTTAAATTTATTTAATTGTTCATTTTTATATTGTAGTATAATTTATTTAACACAATGTAATAGAGCTAAAACAAGTCTCAGTGAGTGAAAGGGAATTGTGATTGTTAGGAGGAAGTTGATCTTTTTAGAAGACACGAATCTAGATCTTTTTCGAAGACACTGAATTTCTAGAAAAAACTTTAAAGACACTATTTATGAAGGCAAAATAATCTAAGGAAGACAGAGTCAAATTAAGGTGGCAAAAGCAAATCAGATTTATGAGAGAAGGGATGAAAATGAGTTTAATCTCCAGTATTGCCTACCAAAATTTGGGACAGTAGCAAATACAATGCCAAAACAATAGATTTCTTTTAAATTAATAAATCTCAACCTTGATTATAGCGTTAACCCCTGTGTTTCCAATTCAATTAGGACACCCCCTCCTTGGCATAAACAAGGAAAAGAAAGCAAAAGTGCAAGAAGAGACAGCTACATAGTCTCCTATCAATGGTTCACTCTTTTCACTCAGGGTCAGTATGTATTTGTTAGTTCATGATGCCAGGACTGGATTCTAAACTGAGTAAGCTGGTGTGGCTACAGATGGCATGGAAAAAACAGCAAGGCAGATTTCAGGACTTGCATTAAAGAGGTCTAGAATGCTGCATTTGTTTTCTCCCACACAGCGAGGGTAATAATGATACTACTGGAACTGTAGCAAAGTGAAGTCAACAAAACAAATTGGTAGGCTACCTACAGGCATCTATAACCAAGAGTTTCTCACTGACTCTAACTTGTAATTATAATCAATTACTATAACGGGGCATAAATGACATAGATAGCATAGTAAATAGTGTAAAGCTGCTCTGATCTCTGAATGAACCCAGGAGTCTTCTCTTTTCAACAAATGCCTAGTTATGCTTTGACACATTATATAAAGCAGAGCTAATACAAATACAGCCTAAAACACAGTAGTTTATCATTAACTTTTCACATACTTCTTTTTTCACCTCAATTTCCATACCATCTAATCATATGCAATCTGGATTTCACGCCACCAGTCTATAGAATTTTGTTCTTTCAAAGTACCTCAAAGATTCTTTCTAAGTTGTTAACCCCTCAAGCTTTTCTAAAACATTATCACGTACAAGACAGGAATTAACATTACCATTTGAGGTTCAGAAAACTGAGGTTCAGTTAATAATGTTTCCAAGAATACAAAGATATAAAATAGCTGATTTTTTTTAAAAACAGCTGATTTTCAAAGTTCAAGAACTACATGAGTCAAAAACCTATAATCATCCTTCTATGCCAACGTATTCATGGGATAATTACCTTCTAATTATGAATTTAGATACTTGATATTTTAAGAGGACTAACAACTTTTATAAATATAAGGTAATTAAATAAGCTGGATTTCTGATTTCTATTTGAAGCCACAACTACATATATGATTCTATCAGTTATGACAAATTCATACCTCGGGCTCAGGACACTCAGGCCTACCTTCAGCATCAATGACTCACTAGGACAGGACTCAGTATATATAGTCATTATCATGCTGTGATCGTTTACAGAAAAATGATACAAAACATCAACAAAGCATAAGTGAACATGAGGCAAAGTCTAGAGAAACCAGGCACAGGCTTCTAAGAGTTTTTTTACATGTGGAGTTACTCAGAAAATGTTTAATTCTTCTAGCAATGAACTGTGAAAACATGTGAAAGTTCCTCTAAGGAAGCTTACTAGACACTCAGCTCCCACAGTTTTTATGGGACCCATGGAGCTGGTCACTTAGATATTCTCTGTGTAGTATGTATCACAATTAGTCTACCAGAAAATGAATTAATGTTCACAATCAACTGCATTGGCAGTACAAACAACTGAAATGCAATGAGTTACTCATTATTTGTGGGAAGTTTCTTCCCAATATAGGAAACTGTTGTCATGGTTTTGATCTAGAATACTGCCTAAAAGGCCCATGAGTTGGAATATTGGGGGCACTGCACCCACCAGAGGATTAACCCATTGAGAAGTTCAGAGCTAACTGTGCTGCTAGCAAATGGTGTGGCTACAAGAATCGACTCACTGGGGAGCTGATGTGGAAGGGTGCATTTCTCTTCCCTGTCCTCCCTTCCCTCTGCTTCCTATGTGCCATGGGATGAGTGGTTCTGTCCAAGAATTTTCTGTGTTGGAGCCGTGCACTCATGGACTGAACCCTCTGTAAACTGTGAGCCAAAATAAATGCCTCCTCCTTTAAGTGGCCATGCCACGAATTGTGTGCCAGCATTGGAAAAGTGACCAAGACAAATATGTACCATTCAAGTTTCCTGATGCCAGCCAACAGTGTACCTTATAATAACAGTCGGCTTACGTTAACTCTTTTTCTGCATATTCCCGTAACAACACAGAATAGTTCCAACAAGGAAAAAATGGTTCTTACAGCTTACTGCAATCAACTTCCACTATCACTTGAATGATTTATTTCTATATGTCAACACCAAACTGCCATACAAACAGAATCATATAGTATATGATATTATCAAAAATATGGTAAATGTTTAAAGTTTTAAATTTATTACAGTAAAGCACACACTGTCATTGGCCCTCTCTAAATATTCTTCCTCTCTTCAAACACACTGACCCCTCATTGTTCTTGCCATTTCAGAGGCAGTTCTGGAAGCCCTTCTTCACATCTTTTGTTGTGCTGTCATGAGGGCTGGGATGTCTGAATTCATTTAAAACTGCAATCTTTCATGATGACTTTGACTTTGAGGAAGAGCCAGAAGGCACATAGCGCCAGGTCAGCTGAATAATGTGGATGAGGAAACAGTGTAATATTTTTGAGGCTGTCTTTCTGCTCCATAGCACTCAGCAGCAACATTCACTGCATTGATCACACCTGGTAAAGATACTCATGAAACAAGACTTCCAGAATTGCTTCAGAAAGCTGCAAGTAGGATGGGCTAAGTGTATCTGAAAGAAGAGGGGAGTATTTTGGAGGGGATTAATGGCCCTGGATCTTTTCTATAATAATCGCTTTAAATTCAAGCACTCACTATATATCTTTTTGTTGTTGTTGTTATCGGTACCGGGGATCGAACTCACAACCGCCTGCTTGCAAGGCAGGTGCTTATGCCACTGAGCTAAATCCCCAGCCCCACTCACTATATATCTTAATCATGCTGTATACCTACCCTTTACAGTCTGGCTTCTCAATTTACTGCATTTATGATTCATTCATGCTATTGCACATTATCAGTAATTTGTTCTTTAATATTACTATTCATCTATACTACTACTGCATATATTAATTATTTGTTCTTTTACATTACTGTTATCCATGCTATCATGTGTATTATGTATATGTGTTAGACTAGCATTTAACAATATACTATGGATATATCAGACAGTCTTGTCTGCCCCAAACACTCAAATATAATCTATGAACTACATTCCCTTTCACTTAGTAATTCACTTCAATTAAGTATCTCAGAGTAGAATTGCTAAGTTACATAGCACCTATGAAAAAGTGCAATACAGTTTTCCCACTTACATTCCACTATGCACTCCCATTGGCAACATGTAGAAGTTCTATTACATTTTGGATTCCTGGGCTTTTTTTTTTTTTTTTTTTTTTTTTTTTGGTTTATCTTGGGGTTTTTTTGGTCCCAGGGATCAAACTCACAACCTCACAATTGCCAGGCAGGCGCTTATGCTGCTGAGCTAAATCCCCAGATCTATTACATTTTGAAATAGAAGTATTAAGCGGCCTTTTTATAGTTTTGTGTAAGTATTAGATGAGAAACCTCCAAGGTTGGATGACTTATTCACGTAACAAAAGATGTATGCCAAAGTCTTCCTTTTTTTTTTTTTTTTTTTTCTTTTGTTTCTTTTTTTAAACAAGGTCTCTCTATGGAGTTCAAGTTGGTCTTGAACTCACTATGTAGTCCAGATTGGGATTAACAGCAATCTTCCTCCTTCAGCCTCCTGAATGCTGGGATTATAGGTGTGTACCACCATGCCTGACCAGGGTTTATTTTTCATTTGCCAAAATTTATCATCCAAAACCCAGCTTGAAGGTCACTGTTTCCCTACAGAACTACACAAAAATAATTCTCTATCATTTCATGTATAATACTAAAGCTGGAACCAAATTTATTATATATTATCATTACTTGTGTCTGTTTTCCTGTTTGATTGTGAATTTCCTGATACTATATTACAAGTTACTCAGCACTTCTAACAATTCAGATAGTGCTGTGCAATAAGTCAGTCAAGAATTACAGCTTCTGGTCAAGGCAAGGTAACTGTCACATATTCTACAAATGAAAACCAAAACAACAGACAAAAATGAATAAAGCAATGTTCTTTTAAGACACTCATCAAAAGGTAACAAAATAACATCGCTGAGAAGTAAGAAACAAATAAGGTGACTCCTACAATTTCCTCATCTCATTGTATTAAGAGAATTTATAGCCCACATTACAGGGAAGGGGAATCTAGCCATATTCCAACACACTTTTGAGTTGAAATGAGATGGATATAAATGTCTAATTGAAGAAGGTGCTAGAAAAAGAGATGGCTCTTCAGAGAAAGGACACAAGAGAGGTGTAGGGGGTTGCTTGCAAGAATTTTACAGAAAACTAATCATTGCATGCCTGTAAGGAAACTATCTAAAACCAGAGAAAGAATTAAGATCACAGAGTTCAATACCCCTCTCTCAATAAATGATAGGACAAGCAGACAGCAAATCAGTAAACTTACGTCAGACTTCAAAAATATCAACCAATTTAACCTAAATGACATTTCTAAAACAGAACATCAAATGACAGCAGAACATATATTCTTCTCAAGTGTACTTACTCAGAACATTCTCCAAAATAGATTATATTCCCAGCCACAAAGCAAATTTCACTAAATAAAAAGCATTCATATCATATAGCATGTGCCTTCTCAATGGAGTTAAATTAGAAATCATTATTCAAAAGATTTTTAAAATATTCCTAAATATGTTTAATGCTGCTATCATATGTTGAATATAAGGTTAAATTTATGGGACTACTTTAATGGACAAAAAGTCTAGCATCAAAGACTTTAAGAAAAAGAACAAACTAAAAGTAGAAGAAAAAATAATCACAACAAAAAGAAAATAAACACAAAAGTAGAGAAAAATCAACAAATCAAAAAGACAATCTAAAGAAAAGCTTAAGAAAAAGACAAAAGAAAGGGTTAGAGAGAAAAAGAAAGAAAAAGAGATTACCAATATCAAGAACAAGAGAAGTGACATTCCTATACATATCCAAAACATCCTACCAAACTGGACAACTACAATGATAAACATAGCTCTAAATAGTTTTTAAAACTGAATTTCTAATTTTACAAAATTCCAATAAAGAAACTTCAAAGTCTATATAGTTCAACTACTGAATTCTACCAAACAGTCATGGAAACAATATTAATTACTTTTACATAAACTACTTATGTTTTGAAGAGAAAGAATTCTTTCTCACTTATTTTAAGAGGCTACTAGTATCCTGATACCAGAATTTCAAACATTAAAAGAAAGCTATGGGGGCTGGGGATTTAGCTCAGTGGCATAAGTGCCTGCCTTGCAAGCAGGTAGTCTTGAGTTTGATCCCCGGTACCGATAAAAAAAAAAAAAGAAAACTATGAAACATTGTCCTTATGAATGTAGAAATAAAGATCTTAGCCAAAATTTTACCAAATTAAGTTTAGTGATATATTAAAAGAATACATCATAAACAAAAGTTTATCCCTGGAATGCAAAATTATCTATCCAAAGACACTAAATTAAAATACTGACCACCAACTATCTACCAGCTAAGCTAAAAACACTGACCTCCATAAACAGAGAAAAAACTCTTCGACAGAATCTAACAATCATTCCTGATGAATATTCTTTTTTAAACTATGAATAAAAGAGAATTTTAATCTGATTAAAGTCATCTATGAAAAAAATTCAGGTATTGTCATATTTAATTATGAAGAACTGCATGCTGGATGTGTGTCCTCCCCATAAGATTACAATCAGGAAAATGATTTATACTTTCTGTTCCTATTCAGCATTATACAGGAGATTCTATCGAGTGCAAATAGGCAAAGAAAAAGAAATTGATTTTTAAGAAAACTTAGATTAAGAAGGAAAGTAAGCCTGGTATGACCTATAATTCCAGCGCTCCAGGAAGCTGAAGCATGAGGATTCAAAGTTCAAGACCACTCTGAGAAAGTTAGGCAGACCCATCTGTAATAATGAAGATGGGGGGCTGGGGATTTAGCTCAGCGGCATAAGCGCCTGCCTTGTAAGCAGGCAGTTGTGAGTTCGATCCCTGGTACCGATAAAAAGGAAAAAGACCAAAAAAAAATAATGAAGATGGAGCTCCATGAAGGCCTTAGGCTCAATCACCTAACTCCCAAAAAGGAAAATAAATGTAAAAAATCTATCTACAAAAATACTACTTCTGACAGAGTAACTAAGAGAAACAAGATTACAATGATCAATATAAACAATAAATTGTATTTTTATGCACCAGCAATAAAACAATGAAAAGTTTAAGTAAAAATATTTTCAACTCAAGAGCATCAAAACCAAGAAATATCTTTGGGTAACTTCAGAAGATGCCCAAACATGCAATGATAACTGCAATCACTGCTGAGTGAAAGTAAATAGGCACAAATAACAGTAGAGATACTATTTTTCGTGGATTGATAAGACTATCACATTGATGTCAATTCTCAAATTCAGTTGCAGATTTAAATAATTCCAATCAAGATCCCAGGAGGTTTTTATCTAGAAATTAGCACATGCAATCTAAAATTCAAAACAACTCTGCAAAAGAATAAGGGTGAAAAACTAATACTACCTGATTTAATACTTACTATTATACTACAATAATCAAAACCATATGGTGTTCAAAGAAAGATGCCAGAGATTAACAGAAGAAAAGTCCAGGGGAAAAAAGGGACACGTGTGTGTGGAGAACAAAATTTTTTTTTTTTTTTTTTTGTCTTTTTATCGGTACCGGGGATCGAACTCATGACTGCCTGCTTGCAAGGCAGGTACTTATGCCACTGAGCTAAATCCCCAGCCCCAAGAACAAAATTTTAAACAAAAATGCAAAGGTAATTAATTCAATAAAAATCCTTCTAAAGAATGATGCTGGCATAATTGGATATTCATTGTAAATGAATTCATCTGTTGAGTCACTTACAAAAATTACTTTGAAATGGCTTTTACAATTAATGTAAAATATAAAGCTATAAAACTTTTGAAAGAAAAATTTTAAAACTATATGAGCCTGCATTAGGCAAAGATTTTTTTCAGACAGGTTATCAAAAGCATGATCCACAAAGCAACTACAATGATAAATAAGAAAGCATTATAAATGTACTTCACTAAAGCAAAAAAATGTTTTTAGTGTGAGAAACTGAACAAGTAAATAAGATCCAAATGATATAATAGATGTTGTGAGTAGGAAAGAAACTGTTCAAAAAAAAAAAAAAAAGACAAACTATGATGAAAGAAAGGGGAAAGGAAGGCAGGCAATAGGAAAAAAAATAGATACACAAGACAGTTACGATAGTTACACAGCTAGTTTCTCTTAGTTCATTCAAGAGAAAGGTTTGTGCTAATATTGTTTGGACAATATTTCAAGCCTGTATCTTATACTGTGAATAACCACTATGATGATAACAATACATAATGTATTAACTATTATTACTCTCCTACAAGCTAGCTTGTTTTGAAACTATTTTAATGTTATTTTTATTTTTTTCTCTTTAAAATACAATTTAAAAGAAAGAGTTTTCTACAAAAGATGCTTTTAAGAAACTCAAAATATTAAAGTGAAAGAAAGTATCTGTAAAACACAAACTGGACAGAATTGCAACGTGAAGATATAGAAAACTTTCAAAATTCAATAATAAAAAGACCAATTTAAAAATAAGCAAAAGATGTGAACAGATAGTTCATCAATGGAGGTAAATAAGCAGCTAATAGCACATGAAAATTATATGCCTAGAGTCCTTAGTTATTAGGAAAATGAACATTAACAGCACAATGAAATAGCAGCACACGTCTATCAGACTAAAATTAAAAGCTGATATATCAATGAGGATGTAGAAGAACTGAAGCATAGCTGGGAATGTAACATGACATTATTACTTTGGAAAACACTGATGTCAGTTCTCCTCAAATTCAGCTGCAGAAATAAATATGCAGGTTTAAATTATAGGTATGGTAGCATAAATTGATAATTCCAGCACTCTAGGAAGCTGAAGCATGAGGACTCCAAGTTCAAGCCCGCTCTAAAAAAGTTAGGCAAACCCATCTGTAATAATGGAGATGTTGATAGTTTCTTAAAACACAGGTTTAAATCTAAATATAAGGACTATGATTGTTTACTGAAGAGAAAAGAAAGCACCTATCTACTAAAATATTTCCACAAAATTGGAAACAGCGAAATGGCCCCCAACTCAAATAAGTAAACAATTTATAATATATCTACGTAATAGAATACCACTCAGAAATAAGAAGGCGTTAACTATAAATATCTGTAACAGCATGGATGAATCTCAGAATTACTATGCTGAGAATAGAAAGTAAAAAAAAAAATGTAGTGTAAATTGAATAATCCATTTATGAAATGTGAGAAAACATAAGTTAATCAATAGTGATAACAAATCAATAGTTGCCTGGGGGATGGGAGAGCAGAAAGAGAAATCAGAACATGTTAGAAGGAAACCATTAGACCATAGTGATGACTTGAAGGATAAATATATCAACATGGTTTACACATACAGTTTCATAGCTACAACACCAAACTGTACACTTTAATTATGTGTGTTAGCAAACATATCTCCATAAAAATAAACAGGCCTTAGCCAGGCATGGTGGCACATATCTGTAGTCCCAGCATTCAGGAGACTGAGGCAGAAAAATCGCCTAGAACTCTACAGAGTTCAAAGAGAGCCTGGACTACAAAATGAGACCCTGTCTCAAAAAAACCAAAATGAACAAAAGGGGGGAAAAAAACCAACAGTCTTGTCTATTATAATGTTTTTGATCTACTGTTATACTAACGTTGTTTAACACTTTTCTGTGCCCAAGACAGAAAGCATTTCACATATTGGTTAAGAGAACAATCCAAGGGAAGAGATAACATTAACATGCATAAACTAAATAATGGCTCACTTAACTTTATAAAACAAGTACTACTGGACATAAAAGAGCAAACATACAAACACAACTATATTAATGAACCTCAATACTTGATTAGCCAAAGTGATAGAACTAGTGCAAAACTCAACAAAGAAATATCCTAAGTGGGCAAAAAAGCTTCAAACAATGGACTTAATAGATGTCTGTAGTTTTTCACTCAATAACAACGGAATAAAATTCATTTCACAAGGAATTTTCTCCAAAGTAGACCACATACTAGCGAGTAAGTCAGCCTTAAGTATATGTAAACGAACTAAGCTGGTTGACATACCATACTGCAATGAAGTTAGAAAGCAATGACAAAAGAAACTATGAAAATTACGCAAATGCATGAAAACTAAACAATACTCTTAACTAAACAATGAGTTTCAGAAGATATCAAGGGAGAAATAAGAGTTTCTAGAGCTAAATGATAATGCCAGTACAACATACTAGGAATTATGCTACACAATGAAAGCAGCCCTAAGAGGGAAGCTTATAGCTGTGATTTCTCACATCACAAAAACAGAGCAAGCTTAAATAAACTAATGATACACAACGCAATGTCTTAGAAAGACAAGAAAAATCTAAACCCAAAACTAGCATAAGAAAGGACATATAAAGATTCAAGGCAGAGACTACGGGAGAACATGGCAGACAGATAACAGCAACTACCGGAGGCTCTCTGAAAGACTCGGCTCAGAAGCCAGGAATGGTGCAGACTAAGGAGATATAAGCAGGTGGAGATATGCTCTGCTGACTCAGGAACGAACTGGGCTGAGAGAAACCAACTTGGAATGCAGTCCTGGTGCTAAAACAGGAACAGAAAAGCCTCGGTGTGGAGGCTGGACCCCGTGCCATTGGAAGCCACAGTTTGGGTTTCCCGCCGCGCGGCGGCTGGCTGCCTCTACATCGGCTCGGCAAGGAGAGAGACACGCGGAAGCTCTGAGAACAGCAATCTGCGAACAGAGTTGAAAACAGGACGGGCAGGCAGGCGTGCACTGACTTGTGGTGAGGGGAGTGAGAGAAACTGACACTCTACCACAGTTTGACTCCAGCGGAGGACTTTCTGGGCCCGAGCAGTCCTGCGGGAGCAGGGTGCGGTGGCGACTCCAGCCACACATCCCCCTCTCGGGCGGGATTGGTGAAAAGTGCCTGGCCTGCTTGACGCTGCCAGCGGACCTGGTAGGCTGTCCCAACCCAGATCCCAGAGCCTGACGGTGCCCGGGAGGAGCGACGCGTAGACTGCCTGGTCCGTAACTCCTTGGTGCGCAGCGGTGAGCAGGAATACCTAACTGGCACAATTCGATCAGGCTGTGGCTGACTGGGAGAGAAGCTGGGCCTCTTATATAAGCTTGCATATATAAGGAACAGAGAATATGGGAAGAGGCAGCAACAAGAAAGGCTCCTCGGCCCCCAATTCTGAGAAACAGGCAATAGCGGACACCACACGAATAGACATAAAGCGCCATATAGAGAGCCTCATAGACCAATTCAGGAATGAAGTTATCAACGACCTGAAGCTAGAAGTATGCAGAATAGTTAGAGAAATGCTAAGCACCACCCAAGAAAAAACAGATGGTAGAATGGAAGAACAGAAAAAGAGGGGAGAATTGTTTGATGGAGAAAACAGAGAAAGCACAGAATACGTGAAGCAGGTTCAAAGGGACTACCAAGATACTAAGAAGTCTATCCAAGACTGGCATAACAGCTTGAAAGAAACTAAGGACAGACTATCTGAACTGGAGGGCAGACTTGTAATATGGGAGAATGAAATGAAAAACTTCTTAAAAATAACAAAGAAACAAACAGCAATAATACAAAGACAAGAAAATGATAAGAGGATCCATAACTTAAGGATTAAGAACATAAAAGAAGAAGTAGGGACACAAACAAGTGAACTACAAAAGCTACTCACAGAAATAATCCAGGAGAATTTTCCTAATTTAGCAAAAGGTAAAGATACTCAGATGTACGAGGCATACAGGACCCCAGCTACCTACAACCCTAACAGAGAAACACCCAGGCATATAATAATAAAAATTCCAGAAATTCAATACAAGAACAGAATATTAAAAGCCATCAGAGACAAGAAACAGATCACTTACAAGGGAACACCCATCAGAATTACAGCAGATTTCTCTGCACAAACTATCAAATCACGAAGAGCATGGGGAAAATAATTCAAGCTTTGAAAGATAATAATCTCCAGCCAAGATTGAGATATCCTGCACAACTGTCCCTGGAAATTGATGGAAAAACAAGGTGCTTCCAGGATAAAGAGGAACTGGGGGAATTTGCAACCACCAGTTCAACTCTACAGAGAGTATTGCAGGATATTCTAAAAAAAGAAAAATACAAAGAATCCAGAAATAGTGGCGGGGAGGCCACAACGAATGGAGCAGAGAACAAAATGAAGAAAACAAACTGACAGCTACTGACAGAAAAAGAGCTCAACAGAAATGAGGCAGAGAAGATTGGATGATAGGAACAGCTATTTTGGAGAAAATGACATCTTAAGAGGTAATACTGATTTAGTATCATCTTGTTTTGAAGTCTCATCTAGTTTTTGTCCTTCTGTCTCCAATGGTCTAAATAGGTTGTATCTTATTGGATTTTATTATGTATGATAGTATAAGCGAAAACCTCTTAAAGACAAGGAGATTATAGAGAAACCATTGTTCATTTTCTGTTAGTCGATTCTAAATACTTTGTAATGCTGTCATTCTCTTAAATGGTTTTACATTGTTTTGATATACTTAATGCTACAGTATACGAAGTTGTACTCAAGGATTTCAAGGAAAGAGACTATATGGTAACTACTTTTAGGTTAGGATTATCTGGTGGTGAAACACTATTCTGCTTAAATGGTTATGTTTTGATCTGCGCTGTTTCGTTGTTATGCCCTCTTTTATCTCAATCTCCACTCCATTATTTACTTTTTTATCTTTATCCTTTTAACTAAAGGAAAAAAAAATAGCAGGATATATTATAGTAACCCACTTTGACTTTCCATTTCTTCAATTTAAAGCCCTGTATTACTCTCACCATCTGGTTTTTAACTGATGTTCCCCTATTCTGTTTTGCTGGATAGTATCAGGTTCGAAAGTTTAGGCATCAGCTGTGAAGATAATGAGATTCACTATAACACCGATTCTTGTTGACTTTTATCTACTTTTGAAGACCTACAATGTCTCCAATGTTTTGGTTTTGTCGGTTTTATTCTTTACTGTTTTGTTCAATTGTATTATAACTAACGATATAGGCAATTCTATTAGAGATAGCGGGAGGCATTATAGTAACCATTGTTGATCACCTTGTATTATGTTTTTACATTATCTATTATGTCCACCCTTTTGACTTGACCAATTCTGTTTTGTTATGTCACATTTGGTTTTACTCTCTTCCAAAAAAGTAATAAGAACCGTGGGAGCAATGAAACCCAAAATGTGTAATAGTCATTGTACAAAAGAGAGGAAAAGAAAGTGCTCTAAACTATATAACTGCATGTATATTTAAGTGTATAAGATAGAAAATGATATCACAGAGTTTTATTGGATCATTGAACAGAACTGTTTGCAGTATCATTGATGGAACGTCCACTTTACAAGCTTTAATTTTGTGAGTTGAACAATTATTTCTAAAATGACAATATGTAATCCATTAACTAGTGATTTCCTACTGTTCATTTTTTTTTCTGTAAATCTATATAACTTGTACCTTTTCTCTGCTTTTTTTTCTTTTCTCCTTAAATAAAATTAAAAAAAAAAAGATTCAAGGCAGAAATCAATGAAACTGAGACCAAAAAATAATTATAAATTAAGAATTGATTCTTTGAAAGAACAAAATAGACAAACCTTTATCCAATCTAACCAAAATTAGGAGAAAAAAGACCTAGATTAATGCAATTAGAAATGAAATCACAATAGATACTTCCATAATAAAAAACACTGTTAACAGATACTTCACAAAGCTATATGCCAATAAATTGGAGAAATCAGAAGACATGAATAGATTCCTATAGATACGAAGTATCAAAATTGAACCAAGATGATTTTAAAACTCTGAATAATCCAAAAAACAGGCAATGAATCTAAACGAGTAATGAATAACCTACCACAAAAAAATCCAGGTCTGGATGGAGTCACTGTTGAATTCTACAAAAAAAAGTCATGAAAGATCTAATACCATTATTCCTCAAGGTTTTTAATGAGAATTTTTAAAAAAGGAATGCTCCTGATATCATTCCTGAAAGCTATCAATACCCTGATTGCAAAATCAGACAAGAATCCAATCAAAAGAGAGAGAAGGGAAGGAGAGGGGAGAGAAAGGGATGGGAGGGGAGAGGAGGGAGAGGGAGGGAGGGAGGAAGAGAGAGAAAGAAAACTATAACTACAGAACAATCTTTTCCTAACTATTGATGCAAAAATTCTCAACCAAGTATTACCAGACAGAATGAAACAAATCATCACAAAGTTCATACATCATGACCAACTAGGTTTCATCCTAGGGATGGGAGTATGATTCAGCATACTCAAATCAATTAATGTAAAATAACACGTAAACAAAAGCAAGGATAAAAATCATATGATCATCTCAATAGATGCAGAAAAAGTCTTTGACAAAATATATATTTTCATAATAAAAACAAGAGAAAATAGTTCAATCTGATAAAAGACATTTATGATAAAACTACTGCCAACATCATATTGAATGAAGAACAACTAAAAACTTTCCTTCTAAAATCAGGCACAAACCAAAGTTGTCCTCTATCACCACTCCTGTTCAAACATTACCAAGAGCAATATTGCAAGAAAAAGAAATAAAAGGAGTATGTATAGAAAAGGAAGAAGTCCAATTATCATTATATGCAGGTGACATAACTTTCTACACAGAAGATTCAAAAAATCCACCAAAACACTTAGAATCAAACAAATTAAGTAATGTAGCAGGATATAAAATAAACACACAAATCAAGTGCTCCTGTAGACTAATAATGAACCTCCTGACAAAGAAATCAGTGAAAAATAGCATTCACAATAGCACAAAAAATTAAATACTTAAGAATTAGTGTAACTAAGGACACAAAAAATCTCTACAACAAAAACTACAGAATTCTGAAAGAGGAAATTGAAAACGATAAGATATTTCCTGTTCCTGGATAAGTACAACCAATTTAGTCAAAATGGCCAATCTACCAAAAATTATATACAAACTAATACAATATCAATCAAAATTTCAACAGCATTCTTCACAAAAGTAGTAAAAATAACCCTAAAATGCATATGGAAACAGAAGAAACCCACAATAGAAAAAGTGCTCCTAGGTAGAAAAAATAAAGTGAGAGGAGTCACAATTCTGGACTTGAAGTTATACTGCAAACCTGCTTTGACAAAAACAGTATGGTAATGGACAAAAACAGACTTGAAGATCAGTGAAACAGAATAGAGGATGCAGGAATAGCTCTAAGTTGTTCAATATTTAACTACTTTATCATTGACATAGGGCACAGAAACACACACTAGAGGAAAAATAACCCCTTAAATAAATGGTGCTGGGAAAACTGGCTATCCACATGCAGAAAATTGAATCTAGATCCCTATCTTTTATTATGTACTTAATTAAAATCAAAATAGATCAAAGATTTAAATGTTAAACTTGAAAAACAACCTGAAGATATGCAAAACTCTTGAAGCCACAGGCATAGGCAAGAATATTCTGAACTGCTGGACACCAAATAATCTGAGAATCAACAAATGGGATCATATTGAATTAAAAAGCTTCTGCACAGCAAATGAAACAACCAATGAAGTGAAAAGACAATTGAAAAAATTCTGTCATCAATTTCTTAGATACAGGACTCATCTCTAGAATCCATAAAGAACTAAACAAAAATTAGGCCCTTCTAAATAAAAGGCCCAAACTAAAACTGAGCAAGTAAAATGAATAGACACTTCACAGAAGAAACACAAATGACCAATAAATACATAAAGAAATGTTCAACATCTTTGGCCATTAGAAAAATACAAATTAAAACAACACTGAGATTCCATGTTACCCCAGAAAGAATGGTCATCATCAAGAAATCAAACAACGATATATACTAGAGAGGGTGCAAGGGAAAAGAGAACCATTCTAGTTGTTAATGGAAATGTAAACTGGTACAGTCACTATGGAAATCAGTATGGAAATTCCTTGAAAAACTAAAAAAATAAATTCCACTCAATACAACTATTCCCCCCCCAAATCATATTACAGAGCATACCCAATTTATAGTAGCACAATTCTTAATAACAGTTAAATCTTCGAAGCAATCTACATGCCCATGAGTAGATGAATGGATAAAGTAAATGTGGTATTTACATACCATGTAGTATTACTTTGCTACAAAGATAAGCTCATTTTCATCGTGGAAAAAATGTTAAGTGGGATAAATCAGACATGCATACTTCGCTATCACATTGCTTGTCTTATATGAGAAACCCAGGGTAAAAATAAAAAGCAAAATAATAGATAACAGGAAGTAAGTAGATAGATCCCTCTCAAAGGGGTACAAGGGATGCAGGGAGGGTTAGGATAAGGGACAAAGAAAAGGAGTTGAGATGTTTTATGTCTGAGTACCAACTGGCAAAGGAAATGTAAATATTATGTACTGCAAACTTGCACACACACAATAAAAGGAAAGGGATCAAACAATGGGGAAGTGGAAGAGGAAAGGAGAGAAGGAAAAGAGGATGAAAAAAGGAATTAAGGTATGTTCTGTCTACACTCCTAGTGTAAAAAACTGAAGGAGCTAGTGGGACCCAAAATGTACAATAGATATTATGAAAGTGATACAGGAGGAATCATCTAAAATGGGAAGGTGGTAACTACTGTTAATTTCCTACTATCTTGTTTTAAATTCCTGTATTGTTTTCATAGTTTTGTTAGGTTCAGTTTTATTCTGTCTTTTTCTGTTTGATTTTAGTGTGTTTGGTGGTATGAGCAGCTATTCTTAAGATAACTGAATGCAATATGGTAGCCATTGTTGATTTCCCACTATCTTGTTTTGAAATCCTGTAACGCTTTCATTCTTTTGTTTTGCTTGGTTTTGTTCTACTTGGTTTTGATTTTACTGTAGCTGATGGTATGAACAGCTATTAAAAAAAAAAAAAACAAGAGACACAGTATCCATTGTTGATTTCCTATTTTATTTTCAAGTCCTGTATCACTTTCATTGTTATGTTCTGATTAGCTTTTTATCCTGTTTTGATTCGGTTTTATTCTCTTTTTAAAAAATGTGTTTTGTACATGTATCAATATCCCACAAGGAATGTAGACGTTACATGCTACACACATGTAGTAATAAACTAAAATTTCTTAAAAATCATAATACAATTAGTATACTCAGAATTTTTAATTGAATGCAGAATGCAATTAATATTTACAGTTGTTTATGTTGTGAGGTTTTGATGTAGGTCCAAGTAAGGAGCATTTTCATATGCAAGCATTAAGGGATGAAGTATTAAATATTAAGGATCATTTTCATTTGCAAGTATTAAATATTGGCATGTGTCATTTACTAAAAATTCACTACACAGTTAAATAAAATAATTGAATGTTAGATGACAAAACATATTAAACAGCAGGACAGAATATTGGAAGGAGTTCTAGATTATGATATAGGAGGTAAGGTTCCACTTTGATTTTATTGTAACAAGCTGTCATTGGGACCTCACAGGCTACAAAGTGATTTTCCAATCATTTGATGTTTCCAATAGCAGTGACTGTTAACCAATGAACTGTTGAACTCATCCACATGAGACTCTTTTTTATCCAATTTAAAGGTGGAATTCTAACTAAGAATGGTATTTACTTAAAGAATTATTTTTGGGCCAAGCATAGGAGCTCTTGCCTGTAATCCCAACATTCAAGGAGACTGAGGTAAGAGGACCACAAGTTAAATCCCATTTAAGAAACTCCTCAAAGTCCTGCCTCTAAATTAAAAAATACAAAGAGCTCAATATCATAAAAAATTCTATGAACTTTTGGGTTTTAACTTTTTTAACATAAAAAGTACATTTTAAATTTCATCAAGTAAGCACCAAGTTGTGCATTCTATTCCCATTACCAAAAAGAAAGAGAGAAAGAAAAAAGAAATTACATCAAGTAAAAACAGAAAAAGAATGTAAGAGTGATTCTCAACATATATTTCAAGAAGCAAACAGTTAAACATGGGTATAGCCTTTCATGCTGACTACAGCTGAACTAGCAAACTACAAGGTACAAAAAAAAAACTGAGTTTATTTTTTATTTTGATTCTTTTTATTTAAAAGACCATGAGTGTCTCTGAATCTCCTTTATTCTATTACAGAACAGAAATAATAGCATATATTTAGCAGAATGTTTTGAGGAATCAATGAAGCAATGTTCACAATGGTCTTAGCCAGTTCCTGGCAGGTTATAAGCACTCATCAAAGAACATCAACTACTAAGATTAAGAAGTTCCATGATAATTATGAATATGAGCAGTGGAATTTGTATGCTTAGGTTTAAAGTTAATGACATTAATTATGGTACTAGCCCTTTGATCTTGGTCTAATGACTTTTTTTTTTTTTTTTTGTCTTTTTCACTGGTACCGGAGATCGAACTCACGACTGCCTGCTTGCAAGGCAGGCGCTTATGCCGCTGAGCTTTTTGAAGCTCTAATTTCTTCATGTGTGGAACATTGAATTAAAGCCATCAAAGCGGTCTATTTTTTAGATTTTTTTTTAGTGACATAATTCATAAAATAGTTGGCAAAGCGCTTAGCTCAAAACTACTCCACTAAGTGCCAGTTAATATTTATACTGTCACTGTCAGCAACTATTATAAATACAGCACATCTATATACAGATGTTAAAATATGAAATTTTAGGAACTCTTTCCTAATTTTTGAATAAGGTGAACAAGCTTTTAGAATCATAACATCTTGGACATTACTATTCAATGAACTTGTTTTAATAGCAATATTCCCTATATTTGCAATAATTTGTTTTTGTTAAGATTTCCTTTCTTGAAGCTTCAGTTATGTGTTAAGTAGATTACTACTGTGCTATTGTGTCACTTGCAATCTGTCTGAAATAAATAAATGTATATGGAAATGAAAATCTTGCTGTTTTATCAGTTATATCATATAACCAGCAAAAGAAATACCAAGGAATAGAAAGAAATACAGGCCTCACACACAGCAGGCTCTTTCCTTGTAGTCACATTGATCTTTTCTTAGAAAGGGTCTAAAATTTTTTCTAAAACTTTTTATAACCTACAAAATATGTCCTTAATTATGACCATTTACAGTGATAAACTACAATTTCTGCTTTTAAAGCTATTTGTTTATTATTATCCATTCTCTTGTCTAGTTTCCCCATTAGAGAGAAAGTTCTATGAAGGCAAGAGACATATCTGTCTTATATTGATTTCTACAATGCCTTGCTGTGCACAGTAAGTGGTGCACAGCCGGTATTAAGTAAATATGAAAAGAAAAATTACTTCAGTAGGCAGAAGAAACAAAACTTGGAACAGCCAAACATCAGCCATCAGAGTGGCTGGTAGTGGTTCTGAAGTGGAAAGCAGCCCTGCAACCAACCCAGGGCCTAAGTGAAACTGATGCTGTGTTGCTCAGGGGATTCTTACTATAATAGGATGCTTGTCAAGAACCCAGGTTGTGTGGTCCCTATCCTGACCTATACAAAATCACTACATTTTTTTCAATTCCTCAAGTAATTTCATCTTTGAAATTCTTTGGAATATTGCTGAAAATCTTTGATTGAAACAAAATTATAAAAGGGACTATTACAAATTCAAGGACTTGTTACTGAATTTCAAGAATGTCTATGCTAAATATTCAAGTTAATTGTTACAGAAAATTCTCTAAAAATAGAAACCACGCTTTCCAAATCTGCAACTCATATCTATGGTTCATTGCTTTCCATTCTTTTCCATTACATTTTTCTTGCCAATCTCTGAAGCAATTCTAGAAGGCTTCTGTATCTTTAGTTGCACTGCTGTGGCAGTCTTGATGTCCTCAGTCTGTTCAAAAGGTTTACTTCTCATGGTCAATTTGAAAATGGAAGAAGAATCAGTGCTGGTGAATGAAGTGGAAGAGGGCACCACACAACGTTTTTACAAGGCTGCCTCTCCAGAGTAGCAACTGGCAATCACCATTCACTGTTTTTTTATCACACCTCACAAACACACAAAAGAGGACTTCTATTAACTGCTTCAGAAAGTGGCAAGAATATTGGGATAAGTGTGTCCAAAGCAAGAAAGGATGTTTTAAGGGGAATTAGAGCAATATATCCTTTACTGTATTAGTTTTCTTAAAAATTAAACATTCACTGAATACCTTAACCTCTCCTGTACAGTAAGAACTGTAGAAAATACATAAGGAAAAGATCTTTATACTCTATAAACAAAACAAAGAAATATAATATTTGTCAAGTACCTATCTCTGCAGTCCAGACTGCTTATAACTGCCATAAAGGTTCAGGAAGACAGAATATTTTAAAAGGGCTAGAGGTCTAGCTTAATGTTAGAGCACTTGCCTAGCATATGTAAGGCCACAAATTATATCTCTAGCAATGAAATATGTATGCAAACAGAATATCAAAGCAAATTAATGTCTTCATAGACTACTGAAACTTAAAGGTATCCAAAAACATATATAAATTTGTTGACTTTTTACTGAGCATTACTCAACAATCTGCATTAATTTTATTTACTTTTACAACTATTAATTTTAAAATGTTAACACTTGGCTATTATGAGGTCAATTCATTGTTCATTTCTTTGAAATTGATTTATACCAAAATATTTTATTCAAGATTATAATAAGCAAATATACGGGGCTTA